GAAAACTCTCCTTTGCATCTATTTCTTTTGAGTGATGAGTGAAGAAAATCATGTTTTTTTGCTTTTAATTCTGTCAATTCCTGTTATGCTCACACACAAAAAAAGATGTGAATAGAATTTACAAGATTATTGCAAGATTATGCAATGGTCCCATATCTGTGAGCAGTTCAGTGAAAAAAAAAGTCACTGTTACTTGTACTGTCACTTAAATGCGATATGAGAGAGAGACACTTCCCTCCCCTGCTTCCTGCCTCCTTTTATGTTCTTTGCAATATGAATATACTAACATCTATTTGAAAGTTATTTTTGTCACCTAGGCCTTCTCTTTCACATCTAGCTCAGAAGCAATGCATACATCTCAAGGAAGAGCAAAGCTCATATTCAGAGGAGTGCAGAAGCAGGAACAATTGTGTATCTGAAAAGATGGTGGCATCCATTTGTTTTTTAACGCAGCTGTGAGGTGTTTTGCTGTCACTTTTTTTTTTCTTCCAGATCCAAAAGATAATTTCCTAGGAGATAATAGTTAATAGATGCAAATACTGTATGAATTATACCCACATCACTCACATTGTGCTACAGCAAAGGAAGAAAAAGAAAATGGGTGTAGGTCCTCATTCTACAGGGTGCTGAGGGCCCTTGACTTGCCCTGAGGCAAACAAAATGGATAGATGCAAGAGAAAAGAAATTCACTTTTTCTCCTTCAGCTCCTCACTGCTTCTGTTTTTGCATAGATGTGATGGAACTGTTGTTTTTGAGTGTTAAATAATATACATACTTATATAAGAAGAAGCCCTATCTCTTTTTTGTGGGAGTGGTACTGTGCGTTAAGATTTTTTTCAGACGTATGACAGCAGCTTTAAGGGCTGCCGAGATTCCTACAACAATTCCCTCTTATAGTGGCATCCAGGGAAAGCGCTCTGGTGCTTGGTGTCCTGGACGTGCTAGCGCTGCGGCGGGGACGCTCAGCCTTGGCTACGCCTTGGTATGTTCAGAGCTCCTTCCAGTGTGGTTGTTCCTAATGGGTGGTTGGTGTGGGCGGGCAGCTTTACCTGCTTGGGCACAGGGTGTGTTGGGGGGTTTTTGGGCAGGTGGGTGGGTTTTGTTTGTTCTAGCACGGAGTAAAATTCCAGGGGTGGCTCTCTCCTGGCTCTCCAGCACAACCACAGCAAGGTATTGCGTCTTTGATGTTTGCTTTGCAGAAACTTTTACCTCCTTTTACCACTTGCACCTGCCTTGTCACAGCCTGCTTCCTTGATACCTTCAGGACCTTGTAACTTGTCTCCATTAGCAACGTGTTGCTGTAACTGCCTATGGATAAAGCCAAAAGCCAGTAGAATTTATGGAGCAAATTGCAAGACAGCAGTATTAACAACACGATGCTTGAAATGATAGTCAGATATAGTTGTCCCAAGCTTCCAACCTGGTCAGGTGGCTTCATTAGGCTTCATTTAAAATGAGTAGAGACAGGGGAGCCCTTCTTCAGGGTGGCTCAACAGCAGCTTAACTTTAGTGCTCGCTTGCTCCTTGGAGCATCTTTCTCTTTACACTGGCTCTACAAGAAACCTGGAGCCAAGCTGGTGGTGGGGTGAGGTGAGAAATCCTCAGAAAGAAATACTGAAGGTACCATTTTAAAGCCCTGGTAAAAAAAAAATTGCCCAGTGCATAATGCTTTTTACAACAAAAAAATAAATACCCTAGAAGGAATGCTTACAACTTCAGGCAGTGTATTCCTGCATTCCTTACTTCTGTAAATGCAGCTGACCACTGCAAGTACATAATGATACCAGATCTATAGCTAACCACTGTTAAAAGCAAAATACAAAGTAGAACTACTCATAGTCAAGTGGGGTGCAGAAGGTAACGCATTATTTTTTGTACTCCTTTCAGATAAGTCCCAACTAGTGTATGAACATCTGTGTACAAAAAAAAGAAAAAAACTCCAGTGCTAACAGCTTCTGATAGACATTTCCTACAATCTAAGAAATTGATTCAAAACATTCTATTAAATAAATGCTTAAAATGTTATTTTAAGTTTTTCTTAAATGACAATTCAGAGAGCAGGGGAGCATTTGAGACAGTATATGAGAGTTTGACACAACCCTAAGAATTTCAAAACATGGAAAATTTTGTATCTGGAATGAGAAACTGCTGCTAACGTGGACAAAAAGTGTTTTGTTTCTAGTTTTAAAATTGAATGAAAAATTGCTGTAGGGATTTTCCCCTAGAAAGTTATATTTTTTCAGTAAAGGTGTAACATCTTGGACAGGGCTGAGCAGCTAGCTGATGGAGATCTGTAGTCTGTAAGAGGCTCTTCTCGTTTGGAATAGTTGGGAAAAGTAACGTGGTGAAACCGTATGCGATTCTCTTTACTGCATACGCATATCGGCCCTTTAATACTGAGATGGATTATTTATTGCAGACGTACAACAGTTTTGAGAAAAGTCATAGATTTGTCACAAGAGCTGGAAATAAAAAGGACCTGTTTTTTGGGGGAAGGTTGATTCTTGTTTTTGTTTTGGTGCGTATGTGTGTTTACTGTCATTTGAGGACTGTGCAATGTGGTCTGCAGATTCCCCACATGGAATCTAGCTGCAAAGCTGAGGCCTCTGCTTAAGAAGTTTCTGTTTGTACAGAAACCCAGTTCTTGGTGACCTGCTCTGGAATCAGAGAGACATTTCAGCCAGTCTTTAGCACCTTACTTGCATGTGACCTGCTTATGTGCAATAGTTTCTCCCACATACACACTTTGCTATTTCTCTACTCCATTCCCCCCATTCACCTCTCATCCTGCTCTGGCTGCAGGTAGTAAAATGGGTTCTGTCTGAGCAGATCCCAGCATTTCCCCTTAGAGCTCTGGGTCAGCTTCTCTGAAATCAGTAAAAGTGGATTTGCTGAGCATCTGAAACAGATTTCTATCTCTAGTGATCTTTTATTGGTTTTGAGGGTGTGCAGAATGTGCTTAATTTTATACTTTGATGGAATAAGTAATTTAAATTACTGCTAAAATTAAAAGTGTCTATATCGTAGGAAATGTGCTCATGTATTTATTAAAAAAGAGCTGTTTTAGATGGTTCTTTTGTGCTAACTGTACTTGTCACAGGAACATTTCTTTTTAAATTAAATCATATGCTTTGTTTCAGAGAGCATCTAGCATGATCATCATTCATTTGTACCATTTGTATCTTGTTTAATTATATAAGTTAACAAATCACTCCAGGCTTACCTTCACTTTGTTTGCATTAGAAATTGCATCATGAGCAATGTTGTCATTGGCCTGCCCACTGCTGAAGCAAGAGCTGTAAATAAAGTGGTTTCTAATTGAAATACAGGAGAACCACAGAACCACTATAATTAATGTGCTCTGTTCTCTCTGTCTCCCTTTTAATTTCCACATATCTTCCTCCAGGCTTGTGCTTACCCTTAAATAGTCTCTTGCTACTGCCCCACGCAGCGGTGTGCTGCTCTCAGCCTCCCTTCGACATCCATAGGCTTCTGCTCATGTGCCTCTCTCTGCCTTGCTCAGTATTTTAGTACACTTTTCTGAGCAATTGGACAGTATTAGGAAGCATACCTGAGTGCCTCTTTCCTTCTTACCTCTTTCTTTTTAATATAGCATTCATGTATGGACAAGAAGATTTTTAGATGGCAATAAGGAAATGGTGTTTTGTGGGGAAGCATCCATGTGAGCATCTTGTGATCTGCAGGCAAATGTTACTGAGAATTGATTTGCTGTTTTTGACTAGGAGGGTGGGCACATTTTGCCACTTGTGCTGCAATGGAAGACTCCATCTGCTGTCTAGCCAAATTGCTTTCTGAATATGAAGATTTTGTGCCAAATCTGACATCAAGAGAAAAAAGGTGGTGTATTTTCTTTAGTTCTCTGTAAATGTTAAAACCCAGTGTACCAGAGAAAATAGCCAAACCCGGATCTTTTTGTGTATCTCGTTCTTTGTTTCCTTCACAGTGACAAATACTTGTAATTCCAGTTCGTTGCTAATTTGGAAACAAATAAGCAATGTGTTCTTTTTATTTGTAAAAGGGTTTTTTGTCAATTTTTTAGCTGACTAATTTAATATTATCTGTTTTGTTCATGGAATTCTCTCATGTCTCTTGTGAAGAATGCTATTTTTATAATTTTTGCAAAGGCTGGTGCAGTGCCACTATATATATTTTGTTTTTTTCCTGACATTAAGGAGGTGCAGTCACTGTGTCATCCATTCTTAAGACTCGAGATTCATGGTGCTTGTGCACTTTTCTCTAATTATGTGTAGTTATTTAATTTTCTGATTCTGTTTACTGACACAATATTTTTGATGCAACATCTAGGAATCATGCTGCAAGTTACTTAATTCAAACAGATTATTTTTAAATGCATACTGTGAAAACAGGAAAGGTGGGGTTTTTTGTTTGTTTTTTTTTTCTCCTTCACAAAATTTAGGAACATGAACTATCAACATCTTCCTTCCTGCTGCTCAGTAGAAGCAAAGCAGTGATTAGCAATCATGTGAGGCCATAACTGACCCTCTGTAGTGGGCTTTTAAGCATGGGAATGAAGTTAAAGCCTGAAATGTGTCAGAATTTCCATCTTATTGAAAGCCTTTTAGTTTAGGATTACCCGAAAAACATTAACTCAATGGAAATTGCAACATTCTGAAGTCTGAAGGCAAGTTGGCAAAAATTAGAACAAAAATGAATTTGCTGTCTTGTTAAAGACTTTCCTTTTGCTGAGCATCATCTTGTTCTTAAGAGCCTATAAGAAATTCAGAAATAGACCTGGGGTAGAGGAAGAGGCAGGTGACTGATTCAATGGATCTGGAAATTTTGGGTAGTGTAAGCTAGAAATCTCATGCTGCCTCAGTGTTCAGTGCCTAGGGGTGGAAAAGTCTCTTCTGTGTGTGAAAGTTCGTAACTTTTTTGGTCTGTGGTTCAAGGTAATGTCCACAAGGTTATGCTGTCAGTTTTTCCCAGCCTAAATTAGTTGTGTAATTTCCTAAGAAATAAAAACAGTGACCTAGCATAGGATGTGCAGTGAAGGTGTGTGGCAATTACCAATGGTGAAGTTTTGTGGCGTGCAGTTGGCATGAAGCACGATGAAGGCATATGAGCATTCTCAGATCTCTCTCTTGACAAATTCAACAGAAATCTCAAATTACATAAGTCAGATTGCAGAGGTCTACAGTCTATTAGTTTCAAGATTTCATGATTTAAGTAGTTATATGTTGACCAGAGAATTTAAGTTTATCTTTTACTGTAAGAAATACTTTTTGGTTCAAGACTTTCTAGGTAAGACTACCGAATACTCTTTGTAGGTTCATAAATCATCAAATCTCCCTTTCAGTTCCTCCTCAGCGGAATGGACATAGCTATCAGAAATATGCATATAGTTGTTTATCACATGGATAATAGAGGCCATGGTGTCTCCTAGGCCCTGGTTTACTCATGAACAGAGACAGGCCATCTCAGCAAGGCATGCACTTAGCCGTGCATGGGGAGTACCAAAGAGTAAGAGATGTTTTACCTGTTTTGTAAGACTATCTCATCCATCAGCAGCTCCTCATGCTGTTCCTGATATATTCATGGCCTAGGATGGTTCAGTTGCATATGAGATCGTATCTTGGGGTGGACAAGTGACCCTGGATTTCTGTTCAGGTGTGAGTCCTGGTTGGGTGAGGAACTTCTTCATACTCCCAAGTGAGGTGTTTTATGAGAGAACTCCTGAGTCGCAATCACTGCCATTTATTGTTCCTTGTGCTGCAACTTCACTGGAACAACAGGGGCATAGCCCAGATATCAAGGAGGAGAAGACTGGAAGAGGCTGGAATCAAGGCGTATCAGACCAGGTCTCCTCAGCGATCAGTGACTGTTTGCTCTGCATCCTGTAGCTCCACTGCGCCTGGGTTTGAGAAAAGGCAGTTTGCTCTGCACGTCACTGGTCAGCTGAACCAGACTACTTGTCATGGGTCAATGGGAAATGATGCCTCAGAGCTACAGAAGGTGTCAGAAGGTGTCAGAAAGTTTGATAACCCAATCATAGGTCTCTTTTCCTCAAATAACAATGGAGTAGCCTCTTCAGGGAAATAAGACATCCCTTGCCCCTTGTGCCCTTGCCATCCCTTGTGCCATCCCTTGTGCCATCCCTTGTGCCCTTTTGCGACAAGGTTAGGAGAGCTCCAAAACACTGAGCGATAAGGACAGCCCATTCATACCGTTCTGACCTTGCAGATCTCAGTACCTCGAATTAATGAGATTGCTTACTGAAAATTTCAGTTGTAAAGGAATTTCAGTAGGTTAGAATCTAGATCTCGGTAAAACTAATATGCGTAAGATGGAGAGATGCAGCTTTTGAGATAGCTGTAGATTCCTGGAATACATGCCAGCAGGATGTTATGGGGTCACTTAGAATCCTTTGGGGTAAAAACTGATACCTCCACTCCTAGAGTTACACTGATTCAGGGGAAAGTAAGTTAAATACTGCCTTAGAGTTTCTGAGAGATGTGCTTCCTCCAGGCCAATCCTGTGGAGGGAAGCCAAAATGAATATAAAATATAGTAAGGATTTCAATCAAAAGAAATTGTATTACAATTCTTCCCTATTTGAAAGCATTCTTTAGACTACCATGTCATTTATAGCATAGTATAACAAAGAATATAGTCTCTGGTACACAGACTTGCTTTCAATAGCTTGAATTTGCAGACCAAAATGTTAAGAACACAGTAGAAAATAAAACTTTTTAAATTATCTTTTGTCTTTTACAGTAACTTCTTATCTACAAGAAGCCTCATCTGTGAATTTTCCCTTTTTTTTTTTTTTTTTTTTGGGAGGCTTGGTCCATTATTTATTAAAGACAAAAGCACTGTTTTGCACAAACCAAAATCATATTACTGATTGTTCTGGCCTAATCCTTAGCATCTGTAGGAAAACAAATGTTTGTAAATTGGATATTTGGAGTTGACCTAAAATTGTTTGCCCGGTTCCTTTATTATGCATTAGCGGTCTTTCTTCTTCTTGTCTTTCATCTAAAGCATGATAATAAGAATTCCCCAGTGCAAGATAAAGGAATATCTGTATTGCTGAATCATATAGATAGTCTCGAGCAAAATCCTAAAATAATGTTGTAGCTCTCCCCACGAGGTCTGTGCTTGAAATATATGTCTGCTTCTTGATCTCCAGTCTTACGCTGATGTAGGTTGATGTTTCCTCTGGCAGACGTAGCCTTACGGGGGGCTATTTCAGAACGCCCCAGCTCTGGGGCTCGGTGGCCGCATGCAGGTTGGGAGCCTTCCTGTTGGCTAAGAGTGAGCCCTGGCTTGCAAATGGCACAGTAATGGTACGTGACCTGTATTTTTTGAGAGATGTCTTTTTTATCTTTTCATTTCTCTCTTCAGTGTTACTGCATTCATTTTTCATGTAGCTGTTCAGCTCATTTTTCAAATAGGTGCTAAATAGATGCCTTTCTTGAGCTATTGCAGCTTGCTTTGATGCTAAAAAAAAAGGGCAAAACAAAACAAAAACCAAAACTTTCTTGAGACAGTGTTACAGCCAGCTTGTAAGCTAAGGACCGTGAGACTTGACCAAGAGTAGTAAGGTTTCCTTAGCTTGGAGCACAAGTGTTGTGCTACTGGAACTAAGTGCAGAAAAACAAATGCAAGTTGTAGCATTTCTCTGAGTCTTTGAGGCCCCACAGCAGTAATGGCAGCCTTTGTTTATCAGTGTGCCACTGATGCCTCATCTGGGGATCCCCTTCACAGTGGGAGAGGTTCCCAGCGCTCCTGTTCCTGCTGGCATGAACATTTGAAGGTCCCACATAGCTTCTTCTTAGAACTTCAGGGAGATCTTTAATTGCTTCCTCTGGACAGCAGAGGCTGAAGCAGGGCCTGTGTATGTTCACTTGGTGTTGTGCGAGTTGCTTTTACTCTGACTTGTTCACCATGTTTGTGATGTCTCCTGCCATTCATTTCTGTTGCAGTTGATTTTGCCTCCTGTTTTAATTGTGGTTTTGAAATTGACTCAAAGCACATCCTCCCCCCTCCTTCGCCTCCCCAGCGCCAAGTTTTCTTTGCTGGTATTTGCAGCGACGAGGGCTGTTAGAAATGGCATGTCTGTTACATACCTCAGTCATAAAGAAGTCCGCAGTCAGAACTAAACATACCTGAGGATCGTGGCATCACTTCTCAAGCTTTGGTCCCGTTCGCTTGTAGCTGCTGCTTTTTAGGCAGTTTCTGAGGGTGCGTTGGTGGCAAGGGTAGGGAAGAGAGCCCCTCACCCTGCTCCAGCTCACAAGTCTCAATGTCTCTTCCAGACAGATCTCTCGGTAGATAGAAACTCCAGAGAACCTTGTGTCTGCCGTAAGTGAAATGTGAACAAAAGGGAAACCACGCGGGTGTCAGCACCACCACCACCTTTCCAGAATCCCGTGATAAATCAGATAGCGCTGTTCTCAGAATTGCGTGCTTACTAATTATTGAAATAGCATTACCTTTTCTTTGTGATCTTAATTAACATTTCAACTCAAGTCTGGTGATAAATGAGCCTTGAATTCCGTAGGTTCAGTAAATGATGCAAAACTAAAGTCTGTGTTTGCTTACTCTTTTCCTCTATAAAACAAATGCAACTGACCTGTTCTCTAAGCAGAAATGAGGTATTCTGTAGGCGGAATAAGTCCAACATTAGCTTAGATGACCTTGAAGGTCCTTTTGTACCCTTCTAAGTGAGGAGAAAATACATCTTGTAGAAACTGATAAAAAAAACATAGAGTAGAGCTGTAAAAGCATGATCTGGAGCAGCCTAGATATTCAGATAGCGCACTCTGAAGCTTAATAGCCACATAAAATAATTAATGAAAAATGTCGTTGCAAAATACTCTGTACCCCTTTGAGAGAACAATCTGTTGAGAAAGTTGAAAAATGAAGGTGAGTTCTCTAAAACAATGCTGAAGTAGCTGGTGCTCCCCCGATGAATGGTTCTTTGTGCCAGGCCGGCTTTCAGAGCTTGAGACTGCACTGCAGCTCAGACCTTGGTGTGTGGGCATCTGAAAAGCTCTCCGTCTGGGCGCCGGGCTTATCGGGGAAGAATTTGTCCTAGGCATGTTATTTAGTTTGTTTAAAGATGGGAGAGTTTGTTCTCATGTTTTGTAGAAGCCTCTTTAGATGACGGCAGATGGGAAATCACAGATTTTAACAAAATTTGTTATCTCAAGAAGAAGAAGAGAAACTGGTGAGCAGAAAGTAGAAGGCATTCCCGAAAGGAAGCTGAATGGCTCAAGTAAACAGGACTTCAGATGATGCAGTGTTACCTCCTAGCAACCAAAACTTTTATGAGGCGCAGTTGGCACAGATCCACTTGCTTAGAGGAAAAAAAAATGCTAGAATCAGGTCACTGTGACCGCAGGCAAAAGCGGGACTTGGTATTAGAGATGATCCTTGAGCTCTCTGCTGCGGAGCACCCAGGTCTGCACCTTCATGCATGACCCTGGACGGGCCTTGAAAAAATGCAAGCAGAGCCTTCCGGTTGGTGGGGATTGTCCGAGAGGACAGGCCAGCTGCTCCGTAGTGGAGCCAAAAGTAGTACGGAATGGCAAGGCACATAGTCCTTTCCATTAAAGGTGTGATGCTTGGCCACTTTCCAGGAACTTGGGAGGGTGATTTGATCAATTGGTATGAAAATTGAGTTACAGATGACAAGTAAGTTTATTGATATTGTCACCTTTTATGTTTTTTTCTGGCGTAATGAATTTCCAGGAGAATATCCTATGAAACCATACTGTGCTGGCCATTGAGACAGTTTCCTTCCTGATGCTTGCTAGCTCCTCTCTGGAAACACCTTTCTGCCATTCTGCTAAGAAACTAACTGGCAGTTTTGTCAGTAATAAATTTATTTAAAAGGGCTCTCTTTAGCTCTTGTTTTACTCAGTTGTCCAAAAAAAAAAAAAAAAAAAGAACATAATCATTGGGAGGGAAAGAAGAACATTCTCCTTAGCCTACCTGGAGAGAAAGGAGAAATTGTTCTCATTTGGTTTTCTCTGCTTATACTTTTGCTCAGGATAAGTGTCAAGCAGGATGGACTTGCTCCTTACAGAATTATCTGTGTCATCTTCGTTGCTTTAATATCAGCAAAATATTCTTGTAAAGTGCCGTGGGTGCTGTGTTATCATTTGGCAAAATTTGAGTGAGTGCTGTGCTGCCAGACCGGGTCACAGCTTCTGAGCTAAAGTAGGAAGGCTGGGAACATGCAAGCCCTGCGCTGGAGAAGCCCATTTCCTAGCCTTGAAAGGCCACGTGTCTGTGCGTTTACAGTAACCAAGCCAAAAAAAAAATGCAACTTAACTAGAAGACTTTTTGGTATCATTATTTTTTGAAGTATGAATTGCAAACTCTGTATGCACTTTAATTTGCTCTTAACCATTCTTCCTTGCCTGCAGATTAAAGGCACTATGCTATTAAAAGTCATAGTCCTTCTCCCTTTTTTTGTTACTTCTAGTTACATGACACGCTAGGAGAAGAAATTGAGGGTGAGCAAATACCAGCTTCTCTGCAGAAAAATCTCTACAAGGGCAAACACATTTGGGTAGGCATGGTAGGAGCTTTGAATGAATAAGAAGATACTGAGTGGAGTTAATACTTGTGGAGAATAAATTATTTACGGAAAGTTGAAAACATTTCTGAGTGTCAGTGTTCCTCTGAAAATGGCAAAAATAATTCTAAAAGTTGTATAGTATGGCATTTAATTATATAAGGAACCAAAGGGCTAAAAAATAATAACCTGGTATATCAGAAAGCAATTTACAATGTAAGCTAGGGAAAATGGAATATTTCTGTCACAACAAGATGAATTTCACCACTGGCTGCATTGATTTAGCATCTAAAGTTTTGTTCCAAACAGATCTGTAACTATGGAGGGGGGGAAAAAAAAAGTACTCTTCTTCGCTCAACCTTCCAAGCCAACCGATTCCCCTTCTTGGCAAGACTAGTGATGAAGGTTTGGATAAATATAAAAACAGAACTTAAGAATTTAATTAGCTCTGCTGGTTGTACAATCTGCAGTTGTCTACTTTAATTGTCCCTTTCAAAGGGATCACTCGGAGCAGAGCTCCATATGCGAGGTGAATGTCAGTAAACGAAGCTTGTTAGTGTACAGCACGAAGGCCAACGCTGAATTCTTGTGGGTATTCGCTGCCTTTAATAAATAGTGTGATGCTTCTGAGGAGGAATCTTTCTTTACGCCCACTCACCCTTTCAGATGTTTCCCTTCAATTCAGAAATGAATATTCAGTTGAAAAGTTATTATACATCTCATGTCTTTCAAAATGTTCTTAGCACTTCATAGGATTCTGTCTGTAAGGGGGGAGGCTTTTAGTTCCTTATTCCCCCCGCTTTTTTCTTCTTTCTGCTTCTCTCTGCACAGAGCATCTGGAACCAAGTAGTGTCTGTTAGAGTTTTAGGTTTGATTTCTTATTTTTTGGGGGTTTTATTTGGGGTGTATTTTTCACTGTCGTTATTGGTGGTGGTGGTTTGGAGTTTGTTTGGTTTTCATTTTTGACTGGCAATCACATTTCCTGAACTGTCGCTTTCCTGCTCCATCTTCTTCGGGGTGGAGTGGCGGGGGCTGCTCAACACTAACGTGGCCTGATAGGTCCAAGCATGAAGGTACCAGGGCTGTTAACAGAACATCTTGGGTTTTGAGGAGTTCTCAACTCTGCCAAGCTAAAAGGATGAGGGGTAAAGCTTGTTATGGGCAGTGGCGGCTCAGAGGGGGCTTGGTTTGGTCTCATGACGGGTTCAGCAACTGGGGAACTTCTTGCGGAGGGGTGGCTGTTTTCCAGCAGTTTTGCTAAAAGAAAGGATAGGTTGGAGGAGTGGTGTTCAAGGAAGCAGGGATATTTGCTGAAGCCAGTTTTGCCAATGATTTGCCTGAACAGCTCAGCCACCTCATAGTCTGAAGTAAGGAACTGGCATTTTGGAGGAGTTTGAGTTTCAGGTAGTTAGGATGGAGAAAAGAAGAGCTGGCAGAAATGTTGCAGGAGAATTCCTCGTACTGAGTGATTGGATGATAAAATGTCAGAGGAAATTACTTGTAGATAAATAGAAGTAATGTGTGTTGGAGGACGGGGGCCGGTCGCTTTGCATACCCCATGGTGAATTCTGCACCAGGTGTTGTGGTTTGGGAAGGTCATTCTGTGCTTAAAATAGTTCTGTAAAAAAGAAATGGCAGCGTAATGTTCAGTAAAATGAGTGTCAGGGCTCACTAGTGAAGGAACAGAAAACAAAACAGAAAGCGTGTACGTGCCACTGCGTAAATGTGTGATATTCTCCCACTTTAACAGTGTGTGCAGTTCTGTTTCCTTCTTTCTCCCTTTTCTCCCTCTCTCAATCTACTAAGTACACAGAGAAAATAGACTAAAAAGTTCGCATGAGCAAAAAGGTGCTGGGAATCTTCAGCTGTAAAAATGTTTCATGCTGCAGGAGAGCTGCAGAATCACAAATGTTGTGAAGAAGGGAGAGGGGGCGGCATGGCCAGGGTCCCCTGCGGGAGACCTGAAAGGCCGGGGAGGAAGAGGACGGGTCTTTGGGTGACTGAGGCTGTGAAACTGTGATGAAACCCGATGGATGCTCATTGTCAAGTGGCTTCAGAAAACAAAAGCTCAGGTTGATGGGCTGCTAAGTTCAGAAAGGTGCTGCCTTTCACCCAAAGAGGAACAGGTCGCTAGAGGCTAGGAAGGCGTTCAGGCAAAATATTGTTAGGTCTTTGCCTTTTCTCCACACTCTAGCGTCTAACATTGGCTGCTATTGGAGACTGATTTTGGTGATGTGTGGGCTTTATGGTCCTTACCTTACCAAGATGATCACTCCTGCATTCTTTCAGTCTCTCAGAACATAGGTAGGTTTTTTGCCTGCATGCAAATTCTTGAGAAACCTTGCATGGTGTCAGATATGCAAGGCTTAAAATTTGGCATCTTAATTTAATAACCATCCTGGAGGAGCGAACGTTCTCTGTCCCTCAGTGTGCTGCGGAGCTGAGCTTCATCGGCACTTGCATCACGTCATGCCCTGCTGAGACGGGGAAAGCTTTTCTTGTGACCTTAACCTTTGTGCCTAGAGTGGGGTGCAGACCACAGGCGAGGAGGTTGCCCGAACTCAGTGTGGAGTGGCCAAGTGGGTGGAGGCAGGAGGTAGCTCGGAGGGAAGCCTGAAGGACAGCTGAGTAAAGACCGAGGAAAACCCAGGACTTGCTAGTGAAGGAGTGGAGCTTGCTATTGAAGAAAAAAATGTATCTGGGAAACAGAGTCAGCTTTGGAGAAAGGAGTAGGTTAGGGAAGAAGGGAAAAGCAAAGAAGCAGCCCAGCACAGGAGCTGTAGAAACAGACAAACAAACTTCTGCCTACAGAAACGCGTTTGCTTCCGACATGGGGATGGAAACGGGGTTTGTGGAATCTGCAATACCACTGTCAGCAAATACTTGTCAAACTCGGAGGAGCCTCCCGCCTGTGCTCCTCTCCCAGCGGATGACAGCCTGTTACTGCTGTAATTGACTCTGCTCAGCTTGAGTGGCGTGTGTAGAGACCCTATTACAGACTGCTTGGAGAAGCGTTCCAGCTTTCAGACAATACCATGTAATGGAATAGCCTACCTACGTGATGTCATTTAAAAGGGATATTAAGCCACACTCTTCAAGATTAAATGCCGGAGTGAAAGTATGGTTTGTAACTTCAGTTTGGCCTTCTTTTACATAAGTGCACTTTATGAGAAATCCTCAACTGTATATAATTTTTTTCCTACGAAATTCCTGTCCTGCTTGGCACATGTGATAGATTTGCTGTGGATATAGATGAGACTCCTGCAGAGGGAGGCTGTGGTGGATCCCTGATTGATTTTCTGCTCTTGTTTGAAGTTATGTGGTGGAAGATACAGGCTATTGGAGGAAGAAAGAATATTTTCTCCTGGGTAAGAAGCTGAATGCTGCCCAAGGAATTATATCCTTATCTTTACCATGGAGTGGCCATGTAAGGCAGTCTTTTAAAGCAGGCTTCTCCAAGGTCATCCATTACGTGTGGGGCTTTTTCCTGGGTTCCACTTTGAACACGCAGTTGCTTTACATAAGTGGTAGACATCTAAAGAGTGCCTCAAGTCAAAACTGGGCTTTAAATGTGACCTAACATTGCGCAATATGTTATGTGAAGCACTGGATCCTCTCCACAAAAAAAAAGCAATATTTTTCATATTCATAATTCATCTGTGCCATTGCATCTCAACTGTAAGATGTGCTATTTGCCTAGGATATTGCTGTGCTAGTAAATGTAATACAATATTCCTGAAGCATTTCAAAGCTGTAGAATTGAGTACATAAAAGGAAATAACTTGCATGCATGAAGAATCCTGTCCTCGGAAGAGAATTCGAGTTTTCCCTAGGAAATAAAGCCCAGCTAAAAAGCTGAACATGGGCTAGGGGAGGGCAACAAAATCACAGAGGTGATTGAGAGGAGTTAGGACATGTGGGAAGAGACTGTGTTTTGATGAAGCTGCAGAAGTGAACCACATTAATCGTACAAAGTTGAGGACTATAGCTCTAGTATTTTCTGTAATTTTAGATGCTGCATTTGCCATTTTATATTATTGTTCGTATTGACTTGTTTGTTTTGACATATGTGCTCTGTTATTTTGCTTTGTTTGTCATCTTAAGGTGGCATAACTTTTTTCTTTTTTTTATCTGTTTGGAGAACAATTTAAACGCTATTTAATCATGATCAACCAGTTTAAATGACAGGATGTTCTCAGTAATAGAAGTAATGAGAAATACAGAAAAGAAAAATCTTGTGCCTCAGTTAAAATAGTTTAGGTGTCTTCAATTCATGGGAAGGCTTCCAGCTGGTATTTGTATGTGATTGGATAGATGGGCTGTCGCTAGGCAGGAGAAGAGGAGAAATCCCAAATGACTTCTTTGCTTTGTATTCCCACAGAAACACATTTTGGGTGCTCTGATGATATACAGGGAGTTTTCGTTTCTAATTCATTTACTTCAGTTACCTTCCTAGTGTTAAATGATATGTAAGTCCACCCTATTTTAGTATATGCAGCTATTCCAGAGGGTGTATGTCCAACACTGTTAGAAGTATTTGTTTTTCTTTGGTAGCTGGTATTTGTATCCTTGTCTTTGATCTGTCTTGTTCTTTTGATATCCAAAATCTGCAACACAGTTGTAGCAGTAACTGTGTTCTCGGGTGTATGTGGTCTAGGACAAAAGTGCAGAGCAAATGGGGCATTTGCCTTGCTCTGCACAGAGTCATGGCTTCTCATGGCAGGAGCGTGTTGCATCTTAAGGCTTCTGGACAAAGCTTCACCTTGGCTTAATCTTCTGTTAGGCCTCAAAGCAATTGCAGAAATTCGAGGAGGAGATGAGTGTCTTGAAGCACCGTGTAGCGACGGCAGGGATGGAAGTTGCGCTTTGCTGTGCTGTGCAGCTGAAGGCAGCCAAGCCGTTGCAGCAAGAGCGCTGCCCGGGGCCGCGCCGCAGCGCAGGGACGCCGTCCCCGCGCGGCCGCCTCCGCGGGAGCGGCGTCCCCTTGCCTGTCCTGGTGTCCCGTCTGCGTGCGCCGGCCGGGCTCCGCTGCAGGGCTCTGTGCGGCGCCCTGCAGGGCCGTCCGGCAGGGTGGAAGCTTTGATTTTCTGACTTTTTTTTTTCCTCTGAACTATAACACGACAGATTTAAGTGAAGATAAAATCTCTGACCTTTGACATGTTGCCTAGAGTGAACTGCCAGCGTTCTTTTCCTCCCTTTCTTTTTTTTTTTCTCCCTGGAAAAATACCTCATTTTATTTTGAGGATGAAGCTTATCAGATCAATACATTATAAGCATAATAAAGTTCAACAAATTGACTCCATTATCATGAGATGAAAAATTGATTTAGTTGCATTCTCTCTGTATTAATTCATTGGTGCTTTACATCCCCATAAAAGGTATTATATGCTCCTTATTTTCCAATGGTGTCATCAATCCTAATGAAGAGCAAAGAATAAAAATTTATATTTTGTGTAGAGGACAGCTGATGGTGCCTTAGCTCGTTGTTTGTAAATGCTGCTGTAGATTTTACCACTCCCCTGCTCCTTGGTGTGCATAGGTAATGTACAGCATCTAGAACTGGGATATTAACAAAATAGGAGAACATGGCAAAGGAATGTAAATCTAGATTGCTTTTAATAAAACAACAATGGAAATTTTATGGAAGCTATTGTCAAAGAATTAAAGTGTTATTTGAGAACTATATGTGTTTTTGCAGTGTTTGGTTCTGCATTAGTTACATTTGGACTACTTGAAGTATTCATCAGCCATTAGTTCACTACCTCTGGCTCCCTAATGCCTGCTGACATTTTATTCTTAGACTAAGTTATTATATATAAGAGCTTTGCACATGACTGCTAATTGGCATACATTGCATACATGAACTTTTGCAGCTCTGACAGTAAAGGTGAATGAACCTGAAGCACAAATGAACTCAAAAGTGGCATAGTGGGAAAAGCTGCCCATAGGGGAGAAAAAAAAAAAGAAAGAAAAAAGAGAGAGAGAGAAATAGAAACGGGCCTTCTTGGGTATTGCTGCTATTGCTTTTCCCCCCATCTCCCTGCCTGGCTGCTCTTGGAAGCTGCCAGAGTTGGTCCATCTGTGGCATATCTTGGAATTTTTTTTGTTTAATGCCAATGTTCCCTGTTCCAGAGCAGATAGATCAATTCCGAAGAAAACAAAGCTATGTACTGTGGTTTTAGTCGCTGCTTGTGATACAGCGGTTATTTCTTAATGAAGTTTAAACAGATTGTGGCAGGTTCTAAACAACCGTGCTAAACTGGAGATGTTTTCCCTTTGGCTTCCCCTGAGTTAACCTCAAGTTTTCTCTGTCTGTCTGAATGTTTCCTATTACAAGCACAAGGTAATATTATGCCTGTCCGTCATCCTGAAGGTCCAGGGTGCATGTTGTAAGTTGAAAGGTGTTAAATACCAGCGTGATAAAACAAGTTAGGCAAAGCATTAAGTACATGTGGCCTTTTTAAAATGTATCCTGTTTGGATGCACATGCAGATTCGTTGAAGGAGTTTAGCAGAAAAGCTGGAATTTATTGAGAGTGAAATTACTGGAGCTGGAGCCTGCAGAGAGGCCACAAGCAAGTCCCAAGAGCTTCACTTTCGGTGACATCAGTAGCGTTTCAGCTCCCATCAGGAAGGAGACATGGGCATGCCCCGAGCAGAGCTGCTGGCACTCAACCTCATTGACTCCTAAGCAAGGCCTTGGTATCCAAGGGAATCCATGTCTGCCTGCGCAGGCCTACCGGAATTACCTTCAGCCAAGGTCTCCTGTAGAAGTAGGTTAGGTTTCATCATAAGGAGCTTTATCGCCTGAGGTTATCTGCACCTTGCTCCCACAAAGTGTTTTTTATAAGGTTATATCTTATGGCTGTAATGCCTTTTCCAAAATCTATTAGAAGGGTCTGACACGAAGGGAAGATTTCCCTCTGATGTCAGTGAGGCGCGTGTGAATCACACCTTAGGCTTCCAGGCTTGTTTCATTCGGGGTCTTCCCTAAAAGCCGTTTTGGCAGTAACACCTACAAAAAGAATGTGCTGTTTTCATTTAAATAATTTAAGATGCCTTGTCTAGATATCTGTTCTGAACTAGGTGACAACCTGATTGTATCTCCCACACCTTTGACTTTCATTAATCCCTCCCTTCCTGAGTGCTGAACCTTCTCTTGTTTGTGCAGCGTTCGGTGCGTAGGTTGCGGGTTCTGGGCCAGCAACGTTGCCCTCCCGGTGCGAGCATCCAGCGTGTCTTTGGGTTTGGCAAAGCCTCGGAAAATGCTGTGAAGTCTTTACAGCCTGTGCAGCAGAGGCACAATCTTGTTTTATTTATTGCATCAACATAAACCATTCCTTTCTTTTTATTATTATTTTTTTCCAGTAGATATCAAACTGAGTAATAAGAAAAGATGAATTTACTGGTATTTCAATATGTAATTTGAAGGAACACCGAAGTTTCAATCTGAGAGGTTTTGATAGTGAAGCAAACTCACCATCAATATGGGAAAGAAGTTTTTATTTGTGTGTGTTGATTTTGAAGGGAGTTGCAGTGCTAATGGATGTCTTCATGCTACTCATTTCCTCAATTCTCTATTTCAGAAATTGCCATATTGAATAGAAATTCATAACTGGTTGTGTTACAGTAGAAAGCTCATTCTTACAGGTTTGTTCATGACTTGGGACAAGTTGATGATATTTTATAAGGTAATCACACGGGAAAAATAAATTTATGTTCTTTTGCTTTGTGTTTAGACACATCACTTTGAGATCAGAGAATGAAAGCAGCATGAAATGTTATGGCGAAGACAGCACAGCAAGAAACAACAGTCTCACAAATACTCACAAATCAGGTAATCATAGCATCATATGTCCACTTATTTTGAGGCTGACTTTTTAAATGAGGCTCAGCACCTCAACCATCTCCCATAGGGCATGCTTCTACATCCTTCTAGCTCTGTTGATAGACTTCTCAAATATGACTGGTGTATTGGCTTCAGGTCCTGTAAAACCTTATTTTATGTATCCTTATGTGTATGCCATAGGAGATGCCTGCACTATAAAATCTCTCTTAAAGGTCCAACTTGGCTCTGTTGTCTGCTACAAGCAAAGCGGATATTACCTTGATTAAAAAAAAAAAAAGAAAAAGAAAAAAAGAAGCCATGATGTTCAGCATACCAAAACTGTTAGAGTTGAATCCTTTTCAGAGTGGTCCTACAGCTGCATTTCTAAAACACACGTTTCTTTTGGGGAGGCATTGGCCTCAAAATAGCTTGTCCCTCTCTCCTGAAAGCTTAGCCATATGCTGTTTCCCACACGCTATTTCTTCTGTTGTTTTTCGCTTCCCTTCCCTTCCCGTCCCATCCCGTCCGTCTCAGGATGTTTCCTTCTTGCCTGTTCTTGTAAATCCCAGCATATGTCCTCTAACTGTTTACAACATTTATAGTTACAGCAAAAGGCAGTCACATTGCAAGCTTTGGAGCATAAACACTGTAGAGGTCAGGAAAAAGCTGGCGGAGAGTGTTGTAAGGGTGCTCACCTCATAGTGCATCCATGTTGGGCATCGCTGTGGTCTCAATAGCAGCTGATGGATTAATGTTTGTGTGGAAAGGCATAAAAATCCTCCCACCCCATGCCCTCCACCCAGCATCAACAGCAGTGAGTGGAGATGGTAATGTAGCCTGTATCTAACCTATCTGCTTTTAAGTTCTTCTGTGCCAGGGTCTTTGTCAGGTCTACATCTCTAGGGTCTTGCTGAGGGAAGACAAATCACTCCATGCAATCAATTCAGTAACAGAAATAAACCAAAATCTGAAAGAGAGGGCACTTTTGATAATAGAACAGGTATATCTTCCAGGAAACATATGAAAGTATTGCCTTTGATCTAAGGCTTACCAGAAGGTACTACAATTTATTTCATAGAAACAGTCAGTTAGCTCAGATCAGTGGAAGACTTTTCAGAGAAAGGACATTCCCTAGACCATGTCAGCCTGGATCAAATATACAATAGTATAGTGTTGCGTATTAAAAATCATCACTTTTGTCTTCTGTAAGCTTTTCAGTTATGTAGTCATAGAAATTGCAATTCAAATGCTGTTCCAGATGTAGTAAAGGTTTTTTTTTTCTTTCATACTGTGAGGTGATCTCATCATTTTATATTTGCCATTTTTACAGAGTAATGTGATACATGCCTCAGTCACAGTTCTGAGAACCCTTCAGAACGTCTTGAAACTGTAGCACTGTTTAACTGACAACAAAGATAATCAAATTTACAGAAACAACCTTCTTAATTTCTTTGGAATTCATGCAACTTTATCTCTCTTGTGCTATGTGGAGTTAGTGATTTCTTTTACAATCAACCGCTTCTTGAATAACAAGAATTATGCTATTTTGGAAGGGGGAAAACATTAAATTACCAGTACCTGAGAATGTATTTTTTACTTGGAAATTGCAGGAAAAGGAGAAGAAAATATGTCTGTCTTCCTTTCTTCTCCCCTTTTCTAGGGGCTGAGATGATCACAAACCCTTATTTTTTGCTGTGCTTTTCCCCCAAACTTCATTGAAGTGGAGAAATGGCTTGCTTCCCCTCCCTTTTCCTACATTCCTTTCCCTTCCCCCAAATCCAATGTGTTCTTTATTAAACTGAATTAGGACATTGTAGTCTCTCTTAAGAGTAGAAATGGGAACAGCTTAAATGAGCAGCCACATGAGATTCAGCAGCCTTTCCAACTGCACTGCAGAAGGAGCTCAGCTGCAAAGGGAATGATAATTTCTGAAGGATTTGTGCAACTGTTGAAGACTTACCAGCATTAATATTAAAAAGGAGATAATCTATTTTCCTTTTCCAAGACTGCATAGCTTTCCTCCAAGCCTTGCTATAAAATCATTGTACTAAACATTTTGCTTCCCTACCATACCCTTTTCATTCCTGCAATTATTTCACTTGCCTATATTCTCATACACTGGTGGAGCATTTCTGACATTGGGATGGAGGTACAGATATGGGCATGGATTTGAGACCTCTGCCATGCAAAGCAAGTCAGCATTGAAGTGCAATAGAAACATGAGGCATTGTATGCAATATCGGAGTGAAAGTGGCTTTCTGCCCTAGTTATTTGTTCTTCAGATATAAAAGAAAATCTCATTGGTCCTTGAAATCCATGTTGTTATTCTGGGATTTGTTCTAGCTAAAACAGCCAAAATCCTGACACTTTTTCACCCTTGTTTCAATTCTTGCCTCTCTATTGTTGCATCAGATGTGTCTTCAGAGTTTCTATCTGAAGAAAATGTAGGTACGTGGACTACCTTCTTCATACCTATCTTTCTTCTTTTCTCTCTGATAATTCACATAATCACCTTGCCTGGTATTAGAAATTTCTCTTTGTGTTTCAGTACTATGCGGTTTCTTCTACATGCTTATTTCTTCTGCCAGAAAAAGAGAACTTTAATTTGAATTGTGGCTACCAGAGGAGTTACAGAAGCAGGTAAACCTGGTATCTCCAAAGCCTGCAAGAGCAGGGCTCTGAAATGGACCATTTTTCTTCTCTCCCATTGCTGCACTTCTCAATCATTCAGTGTTACTGCAGTCTTCAAATCCAAAGATGCAGTGTTAGTTGTAGCTCTGCTCCTGCAAGCTGAGGTTCAGTAGTGCTGGGGTGTCATTTTTAAATAATTCTGTGTTGATTTTTAAAGCTGCTCATCTTGGTGGGTGCTTGGTGGTGGTTGTACCTGGGTGGAAGCTGGAAGTCGTGCCCACCTGTGCTGCCACGTTCCTAAAGGCTGGACTGCAGTTAGCCTGTGCCAAAGGGGCTGCTGATACTGTCAGCATTACTGGGACGGTGTCTCTTAGACAGTGAACAGCTGCTTGGTTGTGCATCTGTCCTAAGGAAAATCAGAGAGAGAGGTGATGTGACTGACAGTTGTCTTGACCTGGATATATCACATCAATATACCTCACAACTCTGAATGAACTCTGAACAGGCCAGGAAAGACATTGTAATAAAAGCAGCTAAAAACCAAATATGGTAAGTCCTGTTTTGTTTCAGTTAAAGCTGAGTGGGAAGAAAATTTTAAAGAAAAGGAATAGGAAGACAACAGAGAACTCCTTTTCTTGGATTTTGGCCTACCACAGTTAAAAATGAAGCTTTGTGTTCTAACAACAAAAAGAGCCACTTGAGAAAGCCCCATCTCAGCCTGCCCAGGTAAAGGGCAGTAAGATGCGATTAAAACATGTTAGTGAACTGTTCACAGGGCTTGGAGAATACACAACAGGGACATGCTTCTATAAGCAGACATGCTTAAAGTTAAGTGCCATAGGAGTATATTTTAGATTGCTAAAAGTGGCCACTAGTTTGAATTGATAACGTGTTACAGTTTCTGACAATGTAGGAAGGAATTTTGACCCGTGAAATGAGTAGTCTTCAAATACTAGTGCTTGTGAATAGTGCTGAAGATTTTGGACTACGCTGGGTAGAGTATAGGATCCAGCTGCACTCTGATTCACAGGCATGCACCATACTGAGACAGCTTAGATCAGAGCTGTAATAACTTTATGGCCCATTAATGAGTCTGCTTCCTTCAGTCCGCTCTTCTACAGTCTTTTGTCATCCCTCTCTATTAACTTAGTTGCAATTGAAATTGGCTGGCATTCAGGCCTGCTTCTTGAGCTCGTAGCCAGCCCAACTTTCAAGCGCTGACTTCTGGGAGTGATGTTTTGCTCTGAAATTCATGAGGGTTCAGATAGTTCAGCAGTGTAACTGTGGCTGTTGTTGAAAATTCTGCAGGTTTTGTGTTCTGTGTTGTATGATGGAGCTTGGGAGATTTTTTTGGTGAGGGGAAGGCTGTGTTGTAATTACCGCCTCTCTGATATGTTGCTGTCCTTTTTCTCTAAGATTCTGACTATCCAGCTTTATTAAGGATGGAAAATGTATCTTCTTTAGTGAAGACTGATAACATTAGAATATCCTTGTGTTTTATGTGTACCAGAATGAAGCTGTGGCACGGTTCCAGGAAATATTTGTATTTCCTTTTGGTTGCTTATGTTTGAAGAGGGAGGCAGTTGGACTGTAGAAAGGTATTTCAGCAAGCTTGGCATGTCTGGCTTTCAGTCGGGAGACTGGAGCTTTGCAAGATGCAGAGGACCACACTGGAATGATGAGACAAGAGTTGGAGGAGTGAAATCTTGTCCCTGTTGAAATCAATTGAACTCCCATTAGCTTGAGTCCAGATTCGATCTATTATCTTATATAGGGTATTTCTTTTTCTAGGCAGTCTAAAGAAATGCTTCTGTCCTTTTGTGTTTGTTTTCATGTTTCTTTGTAATGATTTTGTAATTGGGATATATCTGTAATGTCAAAAACGCAATAGATTAAGTAGCATGAATGACGGCTGGAAAGACAATAAATGTAGAATTGCAGAAATGTTGTTGCCCTAAAATTTGTGCTGATTTTAGAAGTTGTTTGATTAACCATTTAGTAGCAATAGTTGTTATCATCATTGAAAGAAACAGAAATCATTCAGTGTACTTCTTAGTTGGGCAGAGATCAAATGTCGTCCCTCTGAAGCTTTAAAAATGTGATGTACAGCACTGAAACAGTCTTTATTAGTTTTAATCCAGTGCAATTTATTTAACCAATGCATGCCCTTAGCATTTTATTAAAGTTAGTTGCAGATGTGTTGCGTGTATAGCATCAAGTTCTTGAATTTAAATCTCTTCAAGCTGTTATGTCAGGGACTGGTTTATTACTGATTATGCTTTTGTCCATATGCCTATTTGCTTTATTTTCGTCCATTACCTGAGGGCAGAAAAAATGGTGCTTTCAGATGGGTGCAGTTTTCTCCCTCTATCTCAGTGATGCTATTGAAGGAATGTTTCCAACTTTGGGTGGTTAAAAAGAAAAAAGTTCTGATTTTTCACAGATGTCTTCTGTAGTGACTGAGCTGTGTAGTTTTCTGTTATCCCTTGGTAGGTACTTCAATGTAATACTCTATTAGGGCTTCTCGGATTTTTACAGTTGCCTTCTTTCTGGGGAATTGTGGTGACAACTCTAATCTACCGAAGGGACAGCTTGTGTCCCACCTCCCAAATGGGCAATGAGTTGAGGAGAGGAGGTGTCTCTGAGCATCGTTTCTTTTGAGAGAGATTTGTGCCAACAGCTCAAGTCCAACCTTCTTGCCTGTGTGTTAGAGTACCTTGAGAACCCCCAGGTGGAGGGGTGCCACGAACGGAGTCTGGCACTTGTCCAAGGGCTGCACCATTCTCTGCTGAGCACAGAAGCCCCTGTGGCCTCTGGACAGGTGGCAGGTAGCATCTGCCTCCATGGTGCCCCTACAGGTGGGAAGGGTAGGGGCATGGGGACCTGACTGGCCACACACGGGGGTTTTTGGGTGCAGTAAGTGTAAGCACTCTTGCTGTCCTGATCCTGAAACTCTTGCGGTCTTTACATTATCTCCTGTAGTATTTATTCTCACTTACTGATTTGTATCACTATTATGCTGTGTCATTAGTGATTAATACTTATCACTTCAAACAGAAACCTTACAAAGAAGGGCTAAGCAACAAAGAATGAACTTCCAGTAAAGTTAATAAATGAAAATAGGGATGCAGTGTCCCTACACAACAAGCACACCCTTTATGGCAGACCCCCTAGGGCCTTGTTTCCTTTGGACGTCTTGTGGAAAAATGTGTTCCCACAATGTCGCAATCCTTGTATACGATTCCCCTCTTGCTCTATAAGCTGATGGCCTTTCAGTGTGAAATATCACACAGTGCTATTTTTAGGCCCTTAGAATGTTTCTGTAGGCTTTGTTTAGCTTCTCTTCATAATTTTTATAGAAAGTGTTTGAAGTTGAGTTGTGGCTGAAGAACTTTGTTGGTACCCTGACCATCCATCGTGGATTGATAATTTTTTTTTTAATTTACATCTGTAGAAATCTACAAGGGAGCATGTTCAGAGAACAAAATGAAGGAATGTATGTTTCTGGAAGGGGAAATAAGCTTAAAATTATCCTCAGCTCTTATTTGTCGCATGAAAATATTACGTGTTAATGGTTACAGATGGCTTACACATGCCTGCGTGTACACAGAGAAAGTCCTCTGCATTGGGAGCTATGATTTTCTGACATACATTATGCCAGAAAGAAAAGTGGGATTTGTGTGTGTGCGCGCGCGCGCCTGTGGCTATGTATAAACATTACTTGCACTCGTTAGCACAAAGCTTGTTAACATCCATCTGGCAATGGTTAAAATTTTCTCCACCAGTGACTTCACGTTTATTCATCCAGGTCAGGGATTCTCTTAAGTTTAACAAGGTAGGATATCAGTACTCGGGAATCTTTGGAAAGCGTCACATTTAGGAAGGCAGATGTGAAAGATCCATAGTTTTGGTTGCGTTTTTTGTTCTTCTTAAATCTCAGCATCAACCTCTTTTATGTTAAAATGCATTTGTGTGTGTAGGCACAGGGCAACTGCATGTATGTGCATGGTGGTCATTTCTTACAGTGGAATAGTAAAATGAGGCAGTAATGTGCCTGTGTATTTTTTGCTGTTGTTTTATTCTTTAAAAACAGTACAGACATCTGTAAAATGTTACTTTAGATTACAATTTACACGGGAGGAATGATAAATGATTGCATTTAGCATAAATTACTCCATTAAAATAATGCAAACTGAAGAAGTGTAAGAGTCTAAAACAGAAATTGAAATTCAACGATCCCTGTGTAAGTTATATACATAACCATAAAATAATCATAAAAGATTTCCATGAATTGGTTTGATTTTAGCATTAATCCGATTCTATACAGAATATGAGCAAATCAACCTATGTGCACAGCTGCTACAATTCTGCAAGTGATTGGTTTTCAAAGTAGGAATCTTTAGTTTCCTGTGAGACCATAACCATTTATGTAGCAAGCCAGCACTTACCTTTCTTTGTCTTATTCCACAGGTGCCTGGTGCCCTGAACCTATTAACTGTGCAAGATTTGTGCTTTGGTCCTCCTTTGAAGATGTGAAGCAACGTCGAGTCTGAAATTGGAATTACTCATAGACTGGAGGAAATCTTAGTCCTTGTGATACACATGGACATGCTGAATTATAAGTAATTCTAGCTTCTTTTCCCCTCCCCTCCCCTTCCCTTATTCAGCTATCTCAGGGTTCATAGAGATTTCAATGGTTTGTGTGCCTGTAAGTTTGGAACAGAAGTGACCAAAAATGGGGGACCAGCAATTGTATAAAACCAACCATACTGCCAACAGCAACGAGAACTTGTACTACCAACAACACCAAATGAACTCCCTTCCATCCATAAATCACAGTTATGGGACATCTGTTATGGATGCTCCTCAGGCGTCCCCGCTCTCCCCGCAGTTTCCCCAAGATTCAAGAGACAGTATAGCTTTGCCTGTAGGGTCAAAAAGTCTTGGGTCAATGGACACATCTAGACAAACAAGTTGGACGCATTCTGTCTCAGGAAACCATGTCTCTTTAAGGAACAATTTGAATAATCAAAATGCAATGTGGAGCCCACTGGGCCAGGGGGAGTCCCATGACGGATACCAATATTCTTATTCTCAACCTGCTGAAAATCGATCGCAAAAAATTACCAGTGGGGTCCTGCATAAATTGGACTCCTTTACACAAGTCTTTGCTAGCCAAAATCTGAGAATTCAAGTCAACAACATGGCTCAGGTTTTGCACACTGAGTCTTCGCTAGCAGATAATTCTGGAGATAGTGCACTCAGGCAGCTGCTCTCTCAGAAACCAGCAGTTGAGCAACAGCCTGTAACTTCCAGCGTGCAACGATACCAACCGGTGCCGCAGCAAACACACCCGAATTTTGCAAATGCGCAGCAAAAGCAACAAATGCAAGTCATGCAGCACCAACAGCTGTACTATGACTACCAGCAGCATTTATCACAAATGCAGATGCACTCTGCATTTCAGCAAGGACAGCCACATGTTCAACAAATGCAGTCTCCGCAGCTCTTGCCGCAGCAGATGCAGCACTTGCCGCAGCCTCAGTACTACGCTCAGCCGCAGCAGGGGCATCCGCGGCTCTCGATACCGGAGATCCAGCAGCAGCAGCAGCAGCCAGCTCGGCAGCCACCACAGAGGCAGTGTCCAATGCAAATAGCTCAGTATTACCAAACGCAATCTGTCATGCAGCAGCAGCAGCAACAGATGCAATTGCAGCTTCCTCCATACCACAGGGAAGCCGACCCAAAGACTATGCATGAACCACACCAGTACTCTCAGGATCCAGGTCATCCTGTGCAGCTCATCCAGTTGGGAGCAGTGCCTCAGTATTGCTACCAAGATCCCCATGAACAGTACAGGCATTTGTACCCACAGAGTTTACTGCAGCAGCAAGAGGATCAGCAAAAGCAATATCCGAACGAGAGCCGAGGTCCCTCTCTGAACTCTCACGTTGGCCTCACTCCACCAGAGACAGCGGAGGATCCCGCACAGCAGGAGGCTAATTCTGTAGGTAACACTGTTCCTCATCGAACTCTTCTGCCACTGTCAGGAGCTCATCTGAACAACAAAAACTCTCAGCAAGATTCTCCCAGTACCATGTGGCCTCAGGTATGCAACATTTCTGTTTCCCACCTAGGCCAACTTGTTTTGCAGAAGAGTAGCAATATACAGAAAGGAAGCAGTTGCAAAAGCCTGGGGAAGCTGGGGTGGGAGCAGTGGGAGTTGCTGGGACGTTTCAGAGAACTGTGTTAACAGACTTCTGGCTACATTGCTTGTTTGGCTTCGGGCCAGGCTGGCAGAAATACACAGCTGCCATGATGGGGCCTATGAGTTCCCTACCAAGAAGGAATTTGGGACGTCCCGAGTTGGTTTCTGAGGAGGAAGAGCCCAGTTACAACTGGGTGCTCCTGCTAATGTTTAAGCACCTGGAGGCCTGAATGTGCATGAAGATACAGTCAACAGTTTTGTTTTTCTTACTTACAAAAGTAATTCCTTAGAGTCAAAGTGATGGCTTCAAGCGGCAGGTGAGTGTAAGCAAGTGCACTGGCCATGCGGATAGAAGTGCAGGTGTAGTAGATAAATACAAAGCTCTCAATTCAGACTTTTTTAATATTAGCAAAATCTTATGCAAAATGCAGACATAAAGCTGTGAAGGCCTTCGTTTATGCATTGGTATTTCCTGAAAAATAATTTTCTCTTTTTTCACCCTTTCTACCTATTGATAGCAGATGCAACTGTCAGATGGCAGACTGCAGCCACTGTCCCCAGAACAAAGGTATTATAGGTTTTGGTGTTTTTAATAGAAATATGAGAAATACAAAGGAGTGTTGCGGGAGGGAGGGCCAGGAGAGGAAAAGTAGGTCATAGATGCTATTCTTCTGGAAGCATCTCTAGTTTTGTCCTTTGTAGATACAAATTTGCATGATTTCCCCTATCCCCAGCAATTAGATCATACTATTAAGTGCTTTAAGTATTAAGAAAAGAAAACAAAGAAGCATTGAAGCCTAGGGAGCACTATACTTTTAAAGCTCTGTGGCATCTGTGTGAGAAGGGATGATGCACTATTTAGATTTCTGTCTTTGGCAGCAGGACCTTTTCTGAAGGTGTCACCTCTGTGGAGGGCTGAAGTGTCCTCCAGCACTGTCATTTCCCATAAGTAGGGGCTGTCACAGGTAGACCTTTTCTTCTAACCCATGGGCCCTCAGGCTGCCCCAGGCTGAGGACTATGTTTTGATGAGTGCATCTTGCTGAAAACTTTCCTTCTCTCCACCTTGGATCAGCTGATCTAGGTTATTGCCCACGTATTTCACCCTATGCTTACTTGTGGCTTCCTAGTTATTTAATTGTAAAACTTTGTTGACATCTTCAATTAAAAGGCTTCCTTTGTGTCAAAGGGAACATGCCAACTGATGTATCCTCTTCTGTTTCATGCTGAAAAAACGTAGTGGCCAGAGCAGAGAAGCATTTCCTGAGAGAGCCGATGCGAAGAACAAGCTAACATGTTCAATATGCTTGAAGGAGTTTAAGAGTTTGCCTGCTCTGAATGGTCACATGAGGTCACATGGAGGAGTAAGAGCATCTCCTAACTTCAAACAGGTACCTGCTCATTTTATTTCCATATTTGGCTCTCTCCTTTTCATGTGGATGTTTGCTTGCTTTTGCTATGCTTTGCTTTGCTATTAAAACCTGTTCTCCCCAATGCTATTTTGTTATGGCATGCACTACGTAAATAGAAGTATACATAATTCTGCTAATTTACAGTATACAAGTCTTGCAAGGAAAAAGAGAAGAGAAGCCTATGTTCCTCTCTGTTTCTCTGCACATTACAACCCCCTCAATACAAACTCATGGCAGGAGCTTCTAATTTTTTTCCCTTTATGTTTGTTTATTATATTAGAAATATCAGGAACATCAAGTCTTCCTTATTTTCATTTGGGCTACTTGGATGACTAAGGGATGTTTATTGGAAGCATTCCCAGGCTTTAATTGAAGGAGCAGGATTGTTGAATCTTTGACAGCTTTCTTCCCAAGTGTTTTAGTTCTATAGGTATCAACAAATACCAGGCTAAAAATGTGAGTTTGAAATATTCTGAATAAGAATAACTTGCCCCGTCAATCACTTTTTCATTGTCCTAATATTTTAGAAATCCAATTCTAATGGGTAATACTACAGGAAATCAAAGAACTGGTAGCATTACCCCATCTGTGTCTTTTTGATTTTAGGTGGGTGAAGGGGGAATTCTGCCTTCATAGTCACAAAAAGGGCACATGCTTGTGCCCCCACCTTTTGCGAGTTAACTTGTAAAGATGTTTTCCGTGGCTGAGCTCCGTTAGCACTGAGGCCAAATCCAACTTGGAAGTTGCCAACTTGATTCAAGGCAATGGTGGAACACGAGCCGTGGTGCTCCTGTGTGTCTCGTAATGCTGGCCACTTCTTTCCAGCCACGATCCTACATTGCATGGCATGTCAGTCCAGAAATACCTCCCTCGCTGGGGCTGAAAGCCTTTAATTGTCTGTGCAGGATGAAGGAGAGAAACCACCACAGCAGCCGCTGCCTAAAGAGGTGGAAAGCCTCGCGCCCATCGTCATGCCAGTGTCTGTCCCTGTAAAGCTTCTGTCGCCCGAGCCCAGCACGCAGCCCTCTGCCAACTCTGCCACAGTCAAAGACAAGCCTGCCAACCCTGTGTCAGATGACGAGATGCCAGTTCTCGTGAAGATGACTTGCTCTCCACCGTGCAGCCCCAAAGTGGCCAACCCCTGCTCGTCCGCTGTGAGTGCTGCGTTTCTTGCCACTAACTGTGCTGTGCTTCTTAAATCCCTTTGCTTTTAGTGCTGCTACGTTCTAAAATGTCCATACCTTAGAATATTTTCCAGAGTCCAGCATCTTAATGATGCCAAATAAACAAAAAAGGCCTGTAGCTTCTTATCATTTCTTCCTCAGGCCTTTGAAAGTATTAATTTTCTCTTTGCTGGGGAATCAAGACCTCAGCTGAAAGTAAATCATTTGAAATTAGAATGTGATATTCTTTTATCCCACTAGAACAAAGGGATTTAGTATCTTTTTATTGTTTTTGTTTTTGTTTTTGTTTTCAGGCTGCTTTGTTTTTATGTTATTGCTTTAATTCAGCAGTTTTTATTTCTTCCTGTTTTTTTTTTTTTTAAGTCAAATGTATGTGCTTCTCATTTCAAGGGAAGGTTCTGTGCGGAAGGTTCTGTGCGGTACTGAGAGTATTTGCTGGTACGAAGCAGATACAAAGCTTCCCTACTCAGAGTTTTGCAATGAAGTCACTTTTCCTTTGCCTCTGGGTGCGTGAGCCCTAAGGGTTAATTGCTGGGAATTCTGAAGCAGGAAAACCCGTTATGCTTAGCACTTTCATTTCACTCATAAAACTGAAGTTGTCAGGCAGTGTGGTGAGGAATTGATGAGCATTTGAATGAGATGTGTGAATTCTCTTTACTCTTTTCCTGAAAGAAACCTGGAGGAAACAGTGTTACTTATTTCTTGTTGTAGGGCAGGAATAGCTATTGCTTGCTCCTTCAAATCCGTGTTTGCAGAGCAGGACGTGAGAAGGGATTACTGGGAGGCACAAGTGCTGTGTAGTTCCATTGGTGTAATGCAGAGAAATACTTGTGTGACTTTATTTTTCTTTTTATTTTCTTTTTCTTTCACCCATGTTTGTCCAAACAAGGGGGCAACAGATGCCATCATGGGTGGTTCTCTATCATATATCTATATTTAATTTGTATATTCTTTATGATATTTGCATATTTGCATCACCCCTTTCTGAATCTTCACCCAGACATACAAATGCATTTAAATATATATAAAATCTTTTAGTTTTCAGATGAAGGTTTTAGGCATAAACTTCCACTTTACTATAGTAACAACCAGCATCTTACAATACATAGCTTGTAACTCAGCAGTGCAGTTTCTCCTTTCTATTTCTGGTTTCTAGAGAGGAAAGGGGCAGTCTTTTGTGACTCCTTGAGCTCTGAGTGGGAGATCTTTGCCAGAGACATCAGAGTAGGTGGCTTGGGTTGTGTATTTCTGCAACGTATATGAAATGATTTGGTTGATCTGCCAGTGTTAGGCTATATGTGCGTTCACTCAATCAAAATCATGCTTGCAGTCTGTGTTATTGCCCAAGCAAATTAAACTTGCAGTTTTCTCCCTGGATCTTATTTTTATATAAGCAGCAGCAATGGCAATATGGAAAGGTCAGATCATCTACAGCTTCCCCTTCCGTGAAGGGATTGTGCCACTGGAGACCTCTTTATCCCAAAGAACTGGAGCTGTGTTGCTTTTATTAATACAGTGCTTTGAGCTGTGCAGAAAAGCTCACACAATTTCACAGAAATGGTAAAATCAAACAACAGAACAAAAATAAATATTCAGCAAGAATAAAGGACGATGGGTGAACGCAGGCAGCAAGTAAGGTCCGGTAGGATCTACCCAAGGTGGATCTGTTGAAGTGGGACAGTAGGGCCCTGGAGGATACATCCATCTCTGGCTAGTGGGCATGGTTTCTGAAGATGCAGAAAGTAGAGAGGTGATTCTTCATTGAAAGATCCTGAACATCGAGAGCTCCTTAATATTCAGCGATCTTTTTTTAAGTGTCGTTGGCACAACCCCATAGCCCCACTGAGGCTAAGTTAACCGTAATTATAGGTAGAGTGCCATAAGGGAGAGAGGCTTATAGGATGTAATTTTGTCCCATAGTAGTGGGAAAGGAGTACTACCTCTTCCATATTTAAAGAGTAGACTTGGATAGGGTGGGATTTATTTTTAATTAGTTCAGTGTTCTTCCCTTTTCTGCTCTGTGAGCCATAAATGTCCACTATCATGATGGACTGTGTCTGTGATTACAGGTAATGACTTCACATGTAGTTTTTCATTGTTCTCAATGCTTGTAAACTACAAAACATTCTATAATGCTGCATTTTTCCTGCAGAAGGAAAACTTCCAAAACTTAATTTTTTTAGAGAGAAAAAATGTCAACAGCTGTTGGAGAGGATACAGCCATGATCTAACAGAGAGAACAGGACCTCTGTAATCAAAAACATTTCCACAAGCTGGAACGTATTAACATAAGGGATAAAGGGTGACAGTACTAATGCTCCTTTAACATGGTTTTTACTGGGCGAATGTGATTCTGAAGAGCCACCCATGGCGTAAAGATATATATTGTCTAAACATTCACTGTAATAATTTACTTTTATATAGGAGTAGTATTTACCAGAGGAGACAGACATTCTGAAATACCCTATCTGTACACAATTTTCTTCATCTTTCCAAGTTTATTCTAAAAAAAAATCTATACCCTGAACACCTAAAAGCAGTATGTTTAATACTACCAGCTTCTGTGTGTCCTTGAGGCATGACCCAAGCACCTTTTTTTTTTTTTTTCTTTTCCTTTTCCCCTAGGAAATCCGGGTTCCAGGTTAGCATAACTCCCGTACCTTCTGCTTTCTGTGGGCTGCAGGGATTTTGTATTAAATGCCTTTAACCTTCAAATTCTATGAATGTTAGAGTATCTATTTCCCTGCTTGCCATTTACTACTCTTTTTCCTCTAAGGAAGGAGGATAGAGTTAAGTTCAAGATTCCTTGCAGCTGGACTGTACTCAAGCTGATGGGAATGTAGTGATAAGAGGCAAAGAATTTGAATTTATTACTTTTTTTTTCTTCCTTTCCTGCTGCTGAGTGCTGCAGTAATTTCACTGAGCTCATTTATGCCTTTCCCAGTCAAACAAAATGAATGCTTTGGAAAACATCTTGTGTAAAGCTTCTAATAAACTGCAACTGGTAATGAAGCAACTCCCCATAGCCTGGGGTTGTTAGGTGCAAATAGAAATGCCCAGGGTGTTCAGGTAGAGCTAAATGAGGGCATGGGAGATGACAGTCTTAGAAAAGCACTCTCTTCAAAAAGGTGCCAGCAGCTCTCTGTGTCATCCTGTGGCTCAACCCTGCCTCGACCTAGAGGGATCCATAAGGAAATTAGATTCTTATGGGTTTTTTTCTTTCCCCTGAAGCTTTTGCATAGGACCAGGCACTGGGCTTTTCTGTGTCTTTTGCCCTAGGGTGTAGGGGATAATGTGCAATACAAACCGCATTTAACCATGGCTAAATAATAAAGTTCTCTATATTTTTCTTTAGGAAACTAGCAAAAAAACTCCTCCAAGTGCTGCAAAATTAGAAGAAAACTTCAAACCATTGCAGGACAAGAAGAAGTATCGGCACAGACCTGAACCTCTCTTCATACCTCCTCCTTCCTTCAACTTCAGCATGTCCCACTCGGGTGCCACCCTGTACCAGAGTCAGCTCCGCTCGCCCCGCGTCCTCGGGGATCACCTGCTGGAGCGGACGCACGAGCTGCCCCCTTACACTCCGCCCCCCATGCTCAGCCCCGTGCGGCAGGGCTCTGGCCTCTTCAGCAGTGTTATCACCTCGTCTCACAGCACCTCTCATGCTCAGCTGCCCCTCACGCCGCTGACTCCCACTCCACGGGTACTGCTGTGTCGCTCGAGTGAGTATCACGTTTGGCAAGCGGCAGCCCCTCGTAAGCACCGTTGTGTTCTCCTCTGGTGCCCTCATGCTGATGATTTCATGTGCTCACACACACGTATCGTTCCGTTGCTTCACAGGAAAAGTCCATCTTTATCAGTCTGTTTGCCTTGGATTTCATAGAGGTGGTTTTAGGACAAAAAGTGAATAGAGGAGCCTGAGCAGCAAGTGGGACTGTGACCTTTCAATCTGATCTGCCTGCAGAAAGGAGCACCATGCCTGTCATTGCATGGGAGCCTTCTGAAATGGAGGGGAAAGACCTCGTTTGAGACATGGCTGGTTTAAAATATTTGTTATTTAGTGCTTCACAAGAAAATGTTGCTGATTGTACGTGATCATGGTAGTAGAAACCTGTGTAGGTTATGACACTTCTGTTGTCTGTAACGATTTAAATTTTGCCCATATTAAATATTGAGGGAAGATAATTTTTGCTAAATAGACTGGAGGAATTCTTCCAGTAGAGAAGAGGTTGTAACTGAATGCTGAGTTACTTCAGACATTGTCACCAGGGTTACAAGTTTTGCAATGTAAATTAACTGTGCTTTCATAGCAGTTCCTTCAGATTCCCATTGCAGCTCTTTCAATTTATTCTCAGCTTTGTAAAATGAGTAAACTGCATGTTACCAGCATGATAACTCAATCAGCAAGTTAAATTCCTATATACAAAATCACTACATATGTCCTGTAATCCAAAGAAAAGAATCTCATTTCTCCAACTTCTCTCTTGGAGATTGGTAACTTTATATTGTCGAAATCACTGACCTTTGTTGACCAAAATTGCTGACCTTTGAGTCAAAAACAACGATGTTACCAACTTCTGTAACTTGTATTGATGTGTTTTAGCCCCTTGTTTTTAGTTTTATGCTATCAGACCATACTAGTGCCCTTCAGATGATGAAAAATTTGCTGGGTGGCCCTTACTGGGGCTGCCTCCAACAAAAAGCCATTCTCTCACCCATGTTCAGGCATAGGCATTGACTCCTGATTTTGTTTCACTCCTTCTCTATCTTCCAGTCTCCTTCCTGCTTGCTCTTTCTGGGAGGTGTTTAGAAATGGGGTTGGCGTTCCTGTTCAGAAAAGTAGTCCTTGCACAAGCTTTTTCCTGCTTTTGTAACTTCGTTAAGATCTAGTTGTTAGCCTCCTCAAAGACCAAAGTTAAAGGGGTACTGCTGACTATAGAGATTTGTCTGTGTGTGTGTTTGGATTTTGTGTGTGTGTGTTTGTTGCATGTCAGTGATACTTTAAAATTATTTAATCTCTCCAAAGATGTTCTCAGTGTTTTAGTAAAGTAATATGTTCAGAATATCTGTAAAACTACCAGACTTATGACTTGTAGCATTTACAGGTTAAAGTCAAATAACCAACACTGTAGATCTGTAGGTAAGATAGAGAGTGGGGAAGAGCTGAAACAATAGCTTTTTTGAAGAGGGACTGTAGAGCAAACGAGCCAGACAGTCCTGCAGCAATGAACGGAGTTAAAACAAAGACACAAATTTAGCAGATTCAGTCAAAATGGGTAGAGGGGTTGCAGGGAGACTCCCAGAGACAAAATTGTAAAATGGTGCAAATTTATGTCATGCTGACAGAATAGGTCTGTCCTGGCAGAGGTATGAAGATAAAAGCTCAGGTTATAAAGGTACCTAAAGCATTGAATACGTTCTCTGTATTCAGCTACTTTACAGCCCAGGCTGTTGTTTGCCTCCAGACCAGGAGAGCACAGAGAACTTCTACTCATATACCGATGATACATACTTCAAAGGAAGCTTGCTCTAATCCCTCAGCTGTTACTCAATCTCCTCTGTGTAGCTGATTACTCTTACATGAGAAATATACCTGATTACCCAGGAATTAGGTAATCTTTGGCCAAATGTATCCCAGATGTGTCCTGATTCACTGATTTCTGCAAAATGTTAATAAGGAGGTAGCAGTACAGCTAGTGGATGTGACGTGTCAGCAGTGATATAATTGTGAAGAAAATGTGTTTTAAACGCAGAAACCCCAATCTCTGTTTCAGATAGTATTGATGGAAGTGTCATTCCAGTGACGCCTGGGCCTGGAGAACAGACTGTTGAACCGTAAGAAATGATTTTTTTTTGTCACTGCTTTTATAGACTGATTCCACCAACTCAATCTCTCTTACCCAGAGTGGGTAACTTGAGCATTATTTGCCAGGTTCAAACACTTCAGCTTCCTGAAATCATGCTGGGCTGTGTGCAGCCCAACCTACAGCACCTCTGGGTGGGAGCTGAGGACTCTGGGCACAAGGGGTCTGTGGGAGATGTGGATGCCCTGGTTCAGAAATGCTGGGAAAGGCTTGGTAGGAGCTACTGAAGGTGAAAAAATGACTAGTAATGTCTGGGGAAAGGACTGCAAGGAGAATATATCCTGATCCAGTACTCTAGCTCTCAGCTTTTATCCAGAGGTTTGGAGAAGTGCTATTTGGTATGTTCCCGGGGCAGGCAACAAACAGTGTTGTCCCTTAGCAGTAAAGTCTCTTTCTGCTTTCTGCTGAAGAGGACCATGCTCTGAGCATGGAGCAGGAAGTTACCATTTCCTGTGTCTGGCCTCCTTGGTAGTCAGCCTTTGCTTTTCTTTAAGGTGTGATGTCTCAGTGGAGTCTACATTGTGTATCGATGCTTTTGTTTGCACCCCCTCCAACCCCCCTTACCTCCCCATCTCCCCTGGAGACTGGTCCTCTCTAGTAGCCAAAACATCCCAGTGAGAGTAAAGCACTGCATAAAGCATTCTGACACAATTTCCTGCCACACTGTGTGATAGTTTTTGTTGGGGAAAAAAAAAAAAAGAATGTGACTTTTGTTTTTGTGCTTGTGTTTTGTTTTCTGCACATCGTGTAGTTAAATACTTATTTAGTTTTTCATCTTTGTAGGCGAATCAATATTGGGTCCAGGTTCCAGGCTGACATTCCTGAGCTACAGGACAGATTGTTGATGGAGAAAGATGTGCACAAGGCTACTTTGGTTTGGAAACCATGGCCAGAACTGGAGAATAAAGTCTTCCAACAAAGAGGTACCATGACTTGCTCTTTTAATAACTCACGTGTAATGCTGTGCCTGTTGAAAAAAAATAGATTGATTTGTGTACTGTACCATGTATGCAAGAGTTATTAATTACCATGAATGCTGGGCAAAATACCAAAACAATATGTTACAGTTTCAGAGTAACAACTGGTGACCCTTTATGGTGACCCTTAAAGTGAGGCGAGGATGAAGTGTGTATGCTCAAACTAAGGGAGAAGGGTCGTTGCTGGGAAGATGGCTTTGGGACACTGAACTCCCTCGTAAGGACAGAGATCAGACGTGAGAGGCAGCTGGTGGTTCCTGGGCCTGTCTTGGGACCATAACTGAGAGAAAATAGCGCAGTCTCAGGGGCTCCTACAGTCCTGAGCACAGTTTGCTCCTGCTTTTGCTCCTGATCTTAGCATCGTTTATTTCATTCTTTTTCTGCTGTGACTGGAGCCGCCTTGGTGCCGCAGCCAATATCACAGACCATATTCCTGGCTCTGGCTGTGCTCTTAGGACCACAGTCCGTCCTAAGGATGCCCTTTGCAAGTCCAGATATATCCCCTCCATGGGGATATATCCTGAAACCATGAAGAGGAGGTATGGAGGAGGGAGAGTATCCAAGCTGCTGCCTCTGACTGTGCTTTTGCTGAGAGGCTGTACATAATGCTTGGCTCTGCATGTTTAACTGACATGCTACTGTGTAATGCACTCAAATGTTGTCTTGTTTCTAACAGTGGAAGACCTCTTAAATATGAGCTGTTCCAGTGTGTTACCTGGTGGAGGAACTAACTCAGAATATGCTTTGCACTCTCTCTTTGAGGCTAAAGGAGATATTATGGTAAGATAAGCTGGAAGGAGAGATATACTTCTCTTCCGCAGATAAATTAACATGCTTTATTAAATGGATTTAGATTTGGTTATACAAAAAAGAGATTACTGATTGATTAGGAGTGATGCTTTAAACATCGTGCAGCATTTTTGGGGAATGACTTCTTCCTTTCATTCTTTAATAAATTTAAATTTCAAAGCAGTGCCTCTCTGGAGGCTTAGTGCACATTTCAGATAGATAAGATTACTCAGTTTATAGCCTTAGGGCTTTGAATGTCTCCCAGTGCTTTCTCTAGCCCTGATATTGCACAGGCTTTATATTTAGTCACAAAGGGTTTAGTCCTCTTCTAACCCTCATAAAATCCTATTTTGTAGCAGCAATCACATCTGTTTAATTGTTCAGAACTGTGAGTAATTGCACACAGTTCTCATATAGATAATGCATTTAAAACGTTTATCAGTTTAGCAATGGGAATGTTGCCAACTGGGGCAAAGCATCCATTTCCTGGTGTTTAGGAAAGACAAGGGCCCCTATTTCTGAAAAGTCTGCTTAAAATGAAATGCAACCAAAGGGCTGGAATGGGTCTCCTGAGATTTTCTAATACAGTGGTTTTCAACTTGGGTCTCAGTGTCCTTAGGCTCTGACAACTCTGTCCAAGGGGCCTGGGACAGATGACTGAGAAAACAGACTTACTGTCAAGACTTGAAATTTGCTATAGAGGGCTCTATATCTTCAGAATTTCAAAGATCTACAAATCATCTGTCTCCCAGATCCAAAGGAGGATTAACTATACTTGCTGTCACTCCTGACAGATATTGACCTAAAAAACTGTGGCTTTTCCCAGAAAGCTATTCCAGTGCTTCACCATTCTTATGATTAAAACTTTACTTTCAAATCTAACTAAAATCTTCCCTGTTGCTGTTAAACCTTGAACCTATGTTCTTATTTGCTGTGGATATGCAGAAAGCCCATGTTCCCTTTTCTGTTTTACCATATTATTACCGTTTCCTCCTCACCCTGGAGTAGGTAGCTGAGAGCAACGTAAAAGTTGTTTCAAGTCTTTTGTAGGTGTGTTTTTCGTGTGGCAAGTAGGAGGGAGTGAGGAACTGGAAGTTACTGAGTACCCGTGCTTGTGCTGGGCTGGGCGGGTGCCCCTGTGTGAAGTGCACTGTAAATGGACCTTGGAGTAATTAGATGTGCCTTCATCTAACAGAAAAGAAAAAGAGGGAGTAAGCTCTCTCATATCATAAGGCAAGCCGGTTTTCTAGCTGCAACTGTGCGCAGCAGCTCGCTGCATGTGCTCATTCTGCTTTTCCCTGCTTGTTTGTTTAGGTTGCCCTTGAGAAGCTGCTGTTGAGGAAGCCAGTGAGATTGAAGTGTCATCCTTTGGCGAATTACCACTACGCGGGTAGGTTTCCTTGGGATCGTGTGTCCGTTGGATCGTAGAGCGCAGGGCTGGCATCCCAGGCTGGAGCGCGGGATCCCACTGCACTCTCTGCTGTTGACTACAGGGATGGCAGCCTCGGCTAGGTGATGTGGACAGTGCTGAGTGATAGGCTGGAAGTTTTTTGTTACAAGCTTGGCAGCTTCTTACCTGACTGATGATGTATAGAAACGCTATGTCCATGATGATATTTAGGGTTCTGCAGATTTAAAAATACCGTGAAAGTATTTTTTTTTCTTTTTAACACAAAATTCAATATGATCTTTAAAAATTCTTCATGTTGATAGATCATAATTCACTAGCGCATACGTCTTCAGCTTCTGTTATATAAATGCCTGCTATCATGTCCTCTTTTTCTGATGTGATGGTGCATGATGAGTGTATGTAATAATCATAAGCATCCTTCTAAGGAGATAGTTCTGTTAACTCTTACCAGTGTTGCAGGGTGCTAAATTCTGAGCCTCTCTTTGCATGGATCTAGAATAGAAGCAGCAGGTCTGGAACGATGACTTTACCAAATACAGCCAGAACTTCCTCTTTTTTTATGGATTAGAAGTACTCTGTGAATCACACAAGATAGTGTGTCACCTAAGCATAGCAAGGTAGCAAATCTCTCTCTTATGCCCTTCTCCACTTAATGCTTTGTAGCATCTAATAACTAATTTTACAGACAGACAGACTTGGGTTTTGCATAAGAGACTTAAGATTTCATCACTACTTTAGGCTTGGTAGAAAACAATCCAAGAATTGATTTGGGTGGTCAGACAGTTGATCACAGTATCAGGAGTTTTCCCAAGCAGCAAAGACTCTTTAGTAAAGAAATTCCTTCATCCCAAGGCCTGACAACAAGAACAGAAACGTGGCTGATAATGGCTTTGATGGCACCTGATAACGAGTGAATAGATGCGAGATTCACATTTTGAGCCTTGCCTGGGGGAGGTGTCTAGGGCCTTTGAGAACAATTCTATTGCAGTCCAAAGGTTGGGCACTGGAGATGGGATGAGGAAGAGAGACTTCAACCAGAAGCTGTGACCAAGGTGCCTTGGAGCTCTTGTCTGACGAGGTGGGACCAAGGCATAATTGTGAGATGATGCAGAGGATGTAGGCAGGGATGAGGACATAGAGATCAGGATCATACCCAGCCAGCCTCATCTTCAGTGAGGGATCAAAATAGCAGAGCAGATCGGGAAATTCTGCCTGTGTGACAGAAGAGGAAGAATAGCCTTTACTGGGGAAAAATAAATGCAGTAGTTAAAGGAAGTGTTCAAGGAAGAGCCAGAAGAGACTGCTTAGCTTCATCTTCTTCATGAAATGATGCTAATTCTGTTGAACTAGTATTGAGACCTGTGGTCATAAGAGTATTCCTATTTCTTAAGCACAAAAGGAAATTTAAGTCAGCTTACCAATGCACAACAAAATCTCATCAGTCTAGATTAAGTCCCATAAAATAATAAGACAAAGCATTCCTTGCTAATGCTCTTGCACAGGACATGTGATTGCAACACGTATTGACAGCCAAGCGCTAGCAGCATACAGCTCTTGAATAATAGCTTGTCTGTGGTTCATAATCAGCCACTACAGGCATATGGGCATTTCTCACAATGTGGTGCATGGAAAGCTTAATATAACTTGAAGTGGTGTTTGTTCAGGTTAACTCTTTGAGCTTTCTGCTTTGTAGGAGATTCAGCAATGGCAGCTCTCAGGCACAGCTGCATTTAAAGCTGGATAGACCCAAATAGAGCATGCTGCTGACTCATCGGAATTAATTGATAGTCCAAGCAGTAAATACCCAAGTTCATTCTCAACATTCTATTCAAACGAGGGTACAAGGGAACGGCTCATCCTTGAAACCTGTTGGCTCACGAGGGAAACAAGTTTTAAAACTTAAGGATTTTCTGTTGTTTGGCAGAAGCGCTGAGTGTTCTGGCCTCGGCTGCTTGGCAGACATCCTCATCTCTGTGTCCTAATGCCTTGCCATCTGTCGAGGAAGAGAGAGAGAGCAAGAGCAGGTAGCTAACGCAGGAGGTGCCATCTAACAGATACTTGATTTGTTTTTCATTTGAAGAATGGCATTTCTCAGGTCTGAAATTCCCTTGCAGTGAGAATTGCAGGAAAGAGGCTCTCTGAAATAATATGCTTCATGCAGTCCCAAAACTTCTGATACCTACTGTGATGGTTTGTGGATCATACCTAGCATTAAGGTGTATAATGGATCTGAGTCATCTCTCCAGGGTAATTCCCTGGGTGTAGCTCCCTTGAAACCTCCAGATTGGGCCCAAAGCCAAGAAATGCCATGTAAGGCATTTATTACCAGTTAATCAGTGCATTACCTGTATTTTAATATGGCAGATGAAATGAAATGTGGACAAAATGCCTAAACATAAAGATCAGCTTTAAAATTTGATCTGTATTCCAAAGTCCACAGTTCTTTCTTGCTGCATTGCAGATCCCTCTCTGCACATTCTCTATATCTCCCTCAAGCTAACAAGAGCAAAAGCTGTTTCCCAGCAACCAGAGTTAAAAACAGCTTTTCTTCCGTTTCTTTTCCTACACAGGATTTTTTCTGTTAATTAGGTTACTTCCAATTAATCCTCAGAATCTTATAAGGGTCTTTACTAATACCACAATTATTGGGAAACTCTGTAAGGCCTCTGTAATTCTCCATAGGTGTACAGTGAAATTAGCTTAGGAGCATGAGGTGAGGGCAGGGGAGGATGACCACTGTAACTGAAGAGGTTTGCTTAAAACATCTTTTTGATGTTTTCTTTGCTTTTTTTTTTTATTTTATATTTTTGGTACAGTACCCAGGCCCCTAGTGAGCTGCCCTAAAGGGAAGGGTAAAGACAAATGAATACCAGATTATTATAAGAAGGGGGTGATGCTGGTTTGGGAGGGGAAAGATGGCAGGGCAGTGTGTCAGCAAAAAGATCTTTGGTAGATAACAGAACAGATAAAACTCACTGCTCAAAGCCAGTGTCTTTTTCTCACCCATCTATATACAGAGCGAGCTTTTGTGTAAATCTCAGTGGAAATAACTAATGCATGATTATATCCAATACTGGAAAAGCCTGCAGAAAAGTTAATTTTATAGTCTTCAGCATGTGACGGACTGGTGAGATACCTGCTCTAAGCTTGTAAGCCTGGGAATTGACAGAGAAAAGCCAAACACTTGCAGTTAATGAAAAATCTATATATTCTTTGTAGACATAAGTAACCCACAGAGTTCAATACCACACATAGTGCCAAGCTCAAATCAGTTGAATTCAGTGTGGTGGCAAGTTACTTATATGGAGAATGGCCACATTGGCAAGAATATCAGGAATTTCTTGTAGTGATAAAAGTTTCAGATGTTCTCAAACAGACTGAAGTAGAATCTTCTTATAGAGTAAGTAATTTCAAAGACATCTGCCCTGTGGCTTCTTGCAGATTTTTCTGTCAGGGTATATAATGCTGCCTGCTCTTACAAACAAGAGACTGGTTTGATGCAGCAGAGCAATTCAGTGTTCCTCTTGTTTGGCTAGTACTGCAGTTCTGAAGAGAAACACAAATTCATTTCAATTTGAATGTTGACATCACATTTTCATGGGGATGTAGCCTGGTGAAGTAAATATAGAATAGTAATATTTGAAAATTTTATATAGAGCTTCCATCAAATGATTAGAAAGCACTTTGCACTTACAGCACATTGCCTTAATGGGGGTATTTATATAGCACCTCTGTGTACTTGTGGCCACAGTCACAAGTCACAAGCAGAATTTAAGTGTCTCACCTCTAGTCATGCATGTGAAGAGCTGCAGAAGTGCCTCATGTCTGGAGAACAAAATGATGCAACTCAGCGCAGCCGAATGTAAAGTGGCATGTACGGAAATAGGCAACACAAGCTTTGCACATGCAGTGATGAGTTCTGAGATGATAGTTCCCATGTAGAGTAAAAGACACACGCTACAAATCCTGGCTGGCCTGGAGAGGATGGATAGAGATCGAGTATTTATTTTCCCTTCCAGCTGAAGAACTAGGGGTCATCTAGCAAAGCTATTAGAAGCTAAACAGCAAAGAAAAGGAGGTGGGTTTTTTGTGCAGGTTTCCTATCCTGTGAAGCTCCTTAGCAAAGGATGTTGTGGATGTAAGACCCTTAGCTGGTTGAAATGAAAACTAAGGAGCACTTTAAGGAGATGGTTACTGAATAAACAAATTGTAGCAGGCTCAGGAAGTCCACTGAATTGAAAGTGATCAGAGGTTCGGAGGAATTGAGGAGGGGCAGTGTACTTGCTTGCCCTGACCTTAGTGTTCTGGGGAACTGCCTGTGGCTCCTGCTGGAGAGACACTGTAGGGTTAGCTGGGCTCTCGGTCTGAGTCAGGAGAGCCATGCTTGTATTCCCACAGCAGGAGGCACTAATGCCTTGATGATTTCACAGTTCTTGCTCCAGGTACTAAATGGACATACAAAAATATAGTGGGTTTATACTGTAAGAATTAATTCATTGAATTTTGTTGGGGCTGTTATTTTTTTTAGGCTCTGACAAATGGACACATCAAGAAAGAAGACTGTTCAAAGAGGCTTTGTCTACCTACAGCAAAGATTTTATATTTGTACAGAAAATGGTAAAGATGTTTTTTGTTCTGTCATTTTTCCCCATTTGCTGTGCTCTGTTGTTCCCTTTCCGTTTTCCTTCCAGCGACATGAGCTTACTGCAGGCATGGAGCCAATGAGGGTTAGAAGAGCACTGTAAGGAATGATATATTCCTTTTGGCGCACACATGCGTGCAAGTGCAGTACCAGTTAAAAACAGTTTTTCTTTTATTTATTTTTTTATTCTCTTAGATTTATGTATAAAATAACCTCACTAAGTGCCTCTATGTCACAACATTGTATGTGTGGAACAAGTATGGTGCCTCCTAACATCTCCATGTTCTCTGGCTGTTTGCTAAAAGGAGCCTGGATCACGGGCATCAAACCTCACTGAAACCTATTAATAAGAGAGAGAACATGTTTGGGCTTAATTTTCATGTTCTGCCACAAAGCAGAAAAGCCAAGGTGTGTATATCTCAGGGCAGAATTGGATACCTTACTTGTCAGTTCACATGTTGAAAAACATTCAAGTTTGTGGGAACCAAGATTTCTTGGCTGTACTGTACAATTAAGCCACAAATGCATATTCTCAGTCATCACCTGAGCGGAGTCTGGAGAATCGCAGAGAAATTACTGATGCTAAGATAATCAGCACAAATCTGACTGAAAAATAATACTTTTAAAACGTTGTTCTATGAGACTATTACTGTCATATTAAAATTGTCTATTTTAATATTTGAGAATTAAAACCAATATCTTGGGGTATAATTACACCATGTTGAATGAAAACTGAAAATTAAAGTTGGGCTATTTCTGCAATTACTTAAGGTTAAGTCTAAGACAGTTGCACAATGTGTGGAATACTACTATACTTGGAAGAAAATCTTGCGTTTGGGACGGAAACACAGAACACGCTTAGAGAAGAAAAGAGAGGAATGCCTGGTAAGTTGAAACTAATGTGTCATGCTTTACCTCTGAAGGTGCTCCTGCTCTGAGCGGGAGGCTCAGCTAGGTGACATACGTAGATCTCTTCCAGCCTAGCTCGTTCCCTAATTCAAAATGACATCGTATATGGTCGTTCTGTGACCCCAGCTGCACCAAGATTTTGCTTTCCTGGACTGTATGGGTTAAAAGTGTTTTAAAAATGCATGCACTAACTCTAGCCTAACAATTAGGGCTTTTGCAACTGTCAAAGCAGAAGAACCCCTGCAAATTATTCCTGTGCCTGTATCTGTGTATCTAAAGACTGCTCTGCCTTTCTGGCACAAATAGCATTTATGTAGACTGGTAATAAATTTGTTGTGTGCCAAGTCTCTATCACAAGCACTCAGAGCAGTCTTAAGAGACGTATTTTTTTTTTGTTAAGTCATTTCATTAGTCTGTCGATATAATGTACATTGCCATGCTACAACTTTGTGGGGAAGAACTGCATCTTGGCATCTGTAGACTCCCTGCATTACAGCTCTAATGCACGTGCAGGGTGTTTTGAACGCTGCTGCAAAGCTTCTTGACTGCAGCTTATCTCTTAAAGGCTGGTAATTTCAGCAGACTAGAAATTCATCGGAGATGGGGAAGAAGTGCTGAAACCTGGAAATAGGCTTTGCTAGACATGCTGCTTCCATACATTGTCTTTAGCCATTTTTCTAGTTTTTCTGAAATGCAGTATTTGTTTCAGACAAGTGGAGAGGAGGAGGTTCTAGAGGAAGATGAGGAAATTGAAGAAGACAGAAAGGGAGAGAGAGAACTGCAGAAATCTCCTGACCCACCTGCTATCCCTCTTGTTGGACCTATAGATCTGCCTGCCCTTCAGAGTCTCACGCTTTCTTCATCCTCCTTCATCTGTGAAATGCCAAACTGTGGCGCTGTACGTGTGCTTGCTCTCTTTAAATAATAGTAGGGAGTTTATAGCATAGTGAATGATATTTTTAAACCAGATTTTGTACTTTTTTTTTTCCTGCCAGTGGTATCTCTTGGATATTGATGGAAAAAATCACTTTGCTTATTTGCTTTGAATTCCCACACCACAAAATATGTGCAATATGCTAGTAGTTACATAAAAGTGTTTCCCAAGGTGTCATATAGATGAAAAGCAGTATATAGTAGTGGCTGTGATTGTTGTATAACTAAGAGGTAATGGGGTAACATAACTCGCCTTGTTATGGTTATTACGAGTAAACTTCTTTAGTTGGGGACAGCATTTAATTAAGTGGATTGCTTGTGTATATCTGAGGTGTACAGATTTTTAAAAATTATTTTAATATGCATTCAGCATATTTCTATCTGTAGTTCCTGTTCCGGTGCCGCATTATTTTTTTTTTATTTGTATTTTGTCCTTCCCTCCACCCTGCCCCTCGCCAGGTGTTCAGCTCCCGGCAGGCGCTCAACGGCCACGCTCGCATTCACGGAGGTACGAACCAGGTGACCAAAACGCGATGCCCCGTTCCAGGCACTAAGCAGAAATCCGGTACGCAGAGCGGATACTGCTCCATCAAGAGCTCGCCTGCCCACAGCACAACAAGCGGCGAGACTGACCCAACGACAATTTTTCCTTGTAAGGAGTGTGGCAGGTAAGTGAATATGTCTGACTGTCTGCAGTGCAGCATCAAATTTACCAATTTATTTTCCAAATCAAAGCGTTGCAACAAACTGTTTTTGTTGTTCTAATTGTCTCAAAAGAGCACTGTTCTCTTACCCAGTCCTTCAGAGGTTGGTTTGCATGGCATTTTGGGTGCTTGCCCTGCAGTGTTTAACCTCTTTAATTTTCCCGATTTCACAACCTGCTGGTGATCCTGGCTCTGAGACTCCAGGCTCCTGTTGCACAACAGACTTGCATGTGGCCATGAGCAACTTGTTCAGTTTCAATGTGCGTGAGCTTCTGCATTCTAACATGGGGCTCCCTCATTTTCTCTCCATTTAATAAGATTGTAGTGAAGCTAAGTACAGGGAGAATTAGGATGGGTGTAAATATTGAAGCAATTGCGGGAGCTGCAGAATCCCTTCAGCAGAGTCGAGAAGGACATTTTTATGTTGTCAAGATGCGTAGCCTGATAATCGGATAGCCTGTCCCCAAAACTCTCATCATGGCATTGCAGACTTCACTGACTTCTGTTTCAGGACAGAGAAACAAATGTACTAAAATGTTGAGTCTTTTTTGACTCCTCTCATCAAAAGCAATACATTCTTATCTGTTTTTTTTTCTTTGAAATTTTAGGGTGTTTTTCAAAATCAAAAGCCGTAACGCTCACATGAAGACTCACAGACAAGAAGAACAGCAAAGGCAGAAGGCTCAAAAAGCTGCTGTAGCTGCAGAAATGGCAGCCACTATTGCAAGAACTACTGGGCCCGTTGGGCATGGTATGATCCCTCTGGATCATATGGGTTTGGTTAAACACATTGAAAATGTAGGTGATGTGGAAGATGACGTTGTTCCGGAGTTAGGTGATGTCATGGAAGAGAACGAAGTCGTGGATGCTGACCTCTTACTAGATGATGAAGATGCAGATCTACTGCAGGATGATGCCGAGCTGTAAATAAGAGTCTTTCGATGGACAGCTACTAAACACAACCTGAATGCATCAATCAGGAAACTTGGACTGCTTGTTTATTCCCCACTGATTGTAAACTACCTGTTGAAAAATGGTAATTCTTTATCCAGGTCTAGAAAAGAAATCCGCTTTTTTTTTTTCTTTTTTATTAATTTGTGTTTTGGGGCAAAATAAATAATTGGTACAAATATTCTTATAAAGTGTTTTTATCTGGGCTCATTTTGCTGAGATCTTCCAAGGCCACTATTTAGAGAAGTTTGTGGTTCTGCTGTCATTTCCCTCCAGCCTTGCACAGTAGGGTCTTTAGTCTTTAATTCTTCCAAGTTTCATTTTACCTCACTTAAAAGAATCATATTCACACTTCTGATGGATTTTATTGTTTTGTTTTTTGGCCTGCTCTGGATCACTTCCAGCATCTTTTAGAGACTAAATGTCATCTCTGTAAAGGAGGTGATTATGTTCTTTTTCTTTGTGCTGTCATTTTAAGGGAGGCGAAGGAAAAAATCTAAATGCCAAGTAATTACAGGAGTGATTGTATCGTCCATAACATCACAGTACCTTTTCAGTTCTGTCTTGCCTTAATGTATATGTGAGGCAGTTGGTAAAGGTATTGGTTGTACCATACACTTCAGAGCTTCCGTTTTTAGCAGGGCATTGATCCACTGATTCTAAAATGACCTGATTCAAGGAATGAAGAAAGAAGATGATTGTGCCGTGGCTCCCGTCATCTGTTGGGAACACTGAATCAGGAACACTGCCTTGTTAATCTGATTGCACTGGAAATATATTTTGCTGTGACAATAAATCATACTATTGAATAGCCATCTCAGTAGGAGGACGTATTCTCCAGCAATTGAGGAGCAGCTTCTCTCATCAGGCAGATACAGGGAGATGTTCCTGCCCAAGGGACAGACACCGGGGGGATATGTGCCTTCAGCAGCACGTGTCGCGAATACTCTTAGGCATGCGATGTGACTGTGCCATGTTCTGTCCTCCTTTTCTCATCATTTTAGATTCAAATCTTGTTCATTTAGTAAAACATGCACCAAAGGTGAGATGATGCTACTGTTTAATTACTCTTTCTTCCCCCTTAGGCTCAGATTTACGTGCTGGGTTTCTAACTCCGTTTATATAAGTTTGAATCCGGTTCTCTCTGTAAGTTGACTCTCAAAAGAACTAGACCTTGCAGTCTTAAATCACAGAAAAGATTGGAGTTAGGTTACATGGACCTTCAGTTACAAAATAAGAGAGTACAAATTTTGCCACAGGTAATGGCACTGATTTTCTTGTGAATCTTGTGCAGCAGAAGAGCATTGCTAATTTTATAAAGTGTTTTGTAAGACTGATTTCAGATCTTCCAATTTTCAATTTTTTTTTAAACAGGATGGTGTTTTTTTTCCCCTGCATTCCTAACATCTTAACCGGAATCTGAGAGATGGTGGATCTTATTTTCTACTGCCTGTCCTTCTTGCGTAACTATGCAAAATGAGGGTAAACCACAGCACTTTTAGGAGTTATGGGACCAGTGGCACTGGTGGCAGAGAGTCTCTGCTAGAGCCAAATACGGGAAGCCAAATGACCTGATGTTTCTGCTTCAGGTCAAATGATGTTTAAGAACAGACCCTTGAGGAGAATGGAAATCACTTCTCAGTTTCAGGTTAGTGAGGTTCCTGTGTGTATGATCTGTTTTGCTACGTTTGGGGTTGTTTCCCATTTTTTTGTTTGTTTGCTTGTTTTAGGGTGGGTTTTATTGGTTAGTGGGTTGGTTTTGGAATTGCCTTCCCCCGCCCTGGAAGGGATGATGTTCCCCGTCTTTGCACCTGTGAGTTTTCGGGAGCCCAGCTAGCTGCACCAAGGTGGCCTGTTTTGTAGACCGTGTGCGCAACATTTTGCGGATTCGTGTGGTTTGCCAAGCGGGGCCTTTGTGCAGGGTTTCGTGTTGGTTCCTGGTGGCCTGTGGTAGAAACCACGCAGGAGTGTTGCTCGCTCTCTTCCAAACTACTTCCATTTTGAAAAAAAAAAAAAAATCAGACTGGCCTGTTGGTAGGAAGAAACCTGCATATTGAGTGAAGTATTAATTGAAAACAGGAAGAGTTCAGTGTGGAGAACAGAGCGAAACGCTGCGGAAACTTGTGAGCTGGACTCAAGAGCAGCTCCGTGTTTCTCTGGCAACGATTGCACAGGTATTTGTATGTGCCAAACTATACATAATATCTGCCTGGATCTCTAACATTAATCAGGTGCTGGTTTACTGTATGGCCAAGATGATAATAGAAAAAAAAAATAACCAAAGAAATTTATTCTGAAAGAAGAAAATGCACATTTCTTAAGCAGTACGTGGTTATAATTTAGGCTCAACCATTGCCTTCGTGTTAAGTGTTGCATTGGCTGGTGTCAAGCAGATGCTGTGCTACCTACTTGTACGTAGTCGGACCTAGTTTTACTTCAGAAAGTTGTTTTCTTGCTAACGGTTGGCGACACAAAACTGTTCGCTCTTGAACTTGGTCCTCTTTGATAAAAACCTGTACATATAAAAAAACATATTTTATGAGAAAAAAATCTTATTTTCAGTATTTAACTGTTATTTTATTAGAAGAAGGTTGTAAATATTTTAGGTGCTTCAGTGTAAAAAAAAAGAAAAGAAAAAAAAAAGAGGAGTCTGTAACTGCAGGTGGCGGAGAGCGGTGAAATAAAAGCGATGCCTTTGCGAGCCGTGTGCGCCCTGCTGCTTCCGCCTTCCCGCGCCGC